ATTTTCCCAAAGCATTTAATGGGATTCTTTCCAAGTATTCAATGGAATTTTTCCTGATTCTAAAATGGGATTTTTCCCAAATTTTAATTGGAATTTCCCCAACTTTAAATGGAATTTTCCCAAAGGATTCCATGGAATTTTTCCGGAATTTTAATTGGAATTTTCCCAAATATTAAAGGGTATTTTTCCCAAATCATAAATGGAATTTTCCCAAATTTTAAATGGAATTTCCCCAAATTTTAATTGGAATTTCCCCAAATTTTAAAGGAGATTTTTCCCGATTTTTAAATGGAATTTTTCCAAAAGATTCCATGGAATTTTCCCGGAATTTTAAATGGGATTTTCCCAATGGGATTTTCCCAATTTTAACTGGAATTTTCCCATATTTTAACTGGAATTTTCCCAAAGGATTCCATGGGAATTTTCCCAAGTTTTAAATGGGATTTTCCCAAATTTTAAATGGAATTTTCCCAAATTTTAAATGGAATTTTCCCCAATTTTAAATGGAATTTTTCCAAAACATTCCATGGAATTTTTCCGGAATTTTAAATGGAATTTTCCCAAATATTAAAGGGTATTTTTCCCAAATCATAATGGAATTTTCCCAAATTTTAATTGGAATTTTCCCCAAATTTTAAATGGAATTTTTCCCCAATTTTAAATGGAATTTTCCCACATTTTAACTGGAATTTTCCCAAAGGATTCCAAGGTATTTTTCCCAAGGATTCCACGGAATTTTCCGGGAATTTTAAATGGAATTTTCCCCAAATTTTAATTTGAATTTTCCCAAAAGATTCCATGGGTTTTCCCCAAATTTTAAATGGGATTTTCCCAACTTTAAATGGAATTTTTCCAGAATTTTAAATGGAATTTCCCCAACTTTAAATGGGATTTTCCCAAAGGATTCCATTGAATTTTTCCAAATTTTAAATGGAATTTTTCCCAAAGAATTCCATTGAATTTTCCCAAATTTTAAATGGGATTTTTCCCAAGGATTCCATGGAATTTTCCCAGAATTTTAAATGGGATTTTCCCCAAATTTTAAACGGATTTTTCCCCAATTTTAACTGGAATTTTCCAAAACATTCCATGGAATTTTTCCCCAATTTTAAGTGGGATTTTCCCCAAACTCCACGGACGTGAAGGAGGAGCCGTAGTCGGTGCCGTCGATCCATTCCCAAATTCCCTCGGAATTCCGGTCGGAGAGGCCGATCCAGAAGCGCTCGTTGCGAGTCCGGAACATCAGGAACGTCTGGGGGGGGGAGGGGAAAAAAAAAGAGGGATCAGGGATTGGGAAAAGGGGTTGGAAAAGGAAGGGATTGGGAGTTGGAAGAGCGGGAAGTTATTGGGGAAATTTCATGGAATTCTTGGGAAAAATCCCCTGGAATCCTCAGGAAAATTCCATGGAATCCTTTGGGAAAAATTCCATAAAATCCTCAGGAAAATTCCATGGAATTCTTGGGAAAAATCCCCTGGAATCCTTGGGAAAATTCCATGGAATCCTTGGGAAAAATTCCATAAAATCCTCAGGAAAATTCCATGGAATTCTCAGGAAAATCCCCTGGAATCCTTGGGAAAATTCCCTGGAAAATTCCCTGGAATCCTCAGGAAAATTCCATGGAATCCTCGGGAAAATTCCATGGAATCCTTTGGGAAAATCCCCTGGAATCCTTGGGGAAAATTTAATGGAATTCTTGGGAAAATTCCATGGAATCCTTGGGAAAAAACTCCATAAAATCCTCAGGAAGATCCCCTGGAATCCTTGGGAAAAATCCAATGGAATCCTCAGGAAAATTCCATGGAATCCTTTGGGAAAATTCCAATTAAAAATTGGGAAAAATCCCATTGAAAGTTGGGAAAAGGAAGGGATTGGGAGCTGGAACAGCAGGAAGTTCTTGGAGAAAATTTCATGGAATTCTTGGGAAAATTCCATGGAATTCTTGGGGAAAATTTCATGGAATTCTTGGGGAAATTCCATGGAATCCTTGGGGAAAATTTCATGGAATCCTCAGGAAAATTCCATGGAATCCTTGGGAAAATCCCCTGGAATCCTTGGGAAAATCTCCTGGAATCCTCGGGAAAAATCCCATGGAATCCTTGGGAAAATTCCCTGGAATCCTCAGGAAAATTCCATGGGAGCCTTTGGGAAAAATTCCATAAAATCCTCAGGAAAATTCCTTGGAATCCTTGGGAAAATTTCATGGAATCCTCAGGAAAATTCCATGGAATCCTCAGGAAAATTCCCTGGAATCCTCAGGAAAATTCCATGGAATCCTCGGGAAAAATCCCATGGAATCCTTGGGAAAATTCCCTGGAATCCTCAGGAAAATTCCATGGGAGCCTTTGGGAAAAATTCCATAAAATCCTCAGGAAAATTCCTTGGAATCCTTGGGAAAATTTCATGGAATCCTCAGAAAAATTCCATGGAATCCTCAGGAAGATCCCCTGGAATCCTTGGGAAAAATCCCCTGGAATTCTTTGGGAAAATTCCACTGAAAATCTGGGAAAAATCCCATTGAAAGTTGGGAAAAGAGGGATCAGAACTGGGATTTGGGATCAGGAATGTGGGATTTGGGATCAGGGTCAGGAATTTGGGATGTGGGAGGTGGATTTGGGATCAGGAATGTGGGATTTGGGATGTGGGAGGTGGATTTGGGATCTGGGAGGTGGATTTGGGATCAGGAATGTGGGATTTGGGATCTGGGAGGTGGATTTGGGATCAGGAATGTGGGATTTGGGATCTGGGAGGTGGATTTGGGATCAGGAATGTGGGATTTGGGATCAGGAATGTGGGATTTGGGATGTGGGAGGTGGATTTGGGATGTGGGAGGTGGATTTGGAATGTGGGAGGTGGATTTGGGATCAGGAATGTGGGATTTGGGCTGTGGGAGGTGGATTTGGGATGTGGGAGGTGGATTTGGGATGTGGGAGGTGTCGATGACTGCGAGTTGAGCCCCGAGCTCCCGGCACTGGATCCGGGGTGGATTTGGGATCAGGATCGGGATCAGGGTCAGGAATTTGGGATCCGGGGCAGGAATTTGGGATCAGGGTCAGGAATTTGGGATCAGGAATGTGGGATTTGGGATCAGGAAGCAGCACCTGCTCCGGGAAGCTGTCAGATGACTACGAGGTTGAGCCTCGAGCTCCCGGCACTGGATCGGGGTGGATTGGGGATCAGGATCGGGATCAGGGTCAGAATTTGGGATCCGGGTCAGGAATTTGGGATCTGGAGGTGGATTTGGGATCAGGAATTTGGGATTTGGGATGTGGGAGGTGGATTTGGGATCAGGAAGTGGCACCTGCTCCGGGAAGCTGTCGATGACTGCGAGTTGAGCCCCGAGCTCCCGGCACTGGATCCGGGGGGGATTTGGGATCAGGGATTTGGGACATGGATTGGGATCAAGGACAGGGATTTGGGAGAGTGGATTTAGGATCAGGAATGTAGGATTTAGGATCAGGAATGTGGGATTTGGGATCTGGGAGATGGATTTAGGATCAGAAGTGGCACCTGCTCCGAGAAGCTGTCGATGACTACGAGTTGAGCTGAGACTCCAGCACTGGATCCGAGAGGTGGATTGGGATCAGGATCAGGATCAGGGGCAGGAATTTGGGATCAGGGGCAGGAATTTGGGATCAGGGTCAGGAATTTGGGATCTGGAGATGGATTTGGGATCAGGATTGTGGGATTTGGGATCTGGGAGATGGATTTGGGATCAGGAATGTAGGATTTGGGATCAGGAAGTGGCACCTGCTCCGGGAAGCTGTCGATGACTGCGAGTTGAGCCCCGAGCTCCCAGCACTGGATCCGGGGTGGATTTGGGATCAGGATCGGGATCAGGGGCAGGAATTTGGGATCAGGGGCAGGAATTTGGGATCAGGAATGTGGGATTTGGGATCAGGAAGCGGCACCTGCTCCGGGAAGCTGTCGATGACGGTGAGTTGAGCCCAGCTCCAGCACTGGATCCGGGAGTGGATTTGGGATCAGGATCGGGATCAGGGGCAGGAATTTGGGATCAGGGTCAGGAATTTGGGATCAGGGTCAGGAATTTGGGATCAGGAGGTGGATTTGGGATCAGGAATGTGGGATTTGGGATCAGGAAGTGGCACCTGCTCCGGGAAGCTGTCGATGACTGCGAGTTGAGCCCCGAGCTCCCGGCACTGGATCCGGGGTGGATTTGGGATCAGGATCGGGATCAGGGTCAGGAATTTGGGATCAGGGTCAGGAATTTGGGATGTGGGAGGTGGATTTGGGATCAGGAATGTGGGATTTGGGATGTGGGAGGTGGATTTGGGATCAGGAATGTGGGATTTGGGATGTGGGAGGTGGATTTGGGATCAGGAATGTAGGATTTAGGATCGGAGGCGGCACCTGCTCAGAAGCTGTCGATGACTGCGAGTTGAGCCCAGGCTCCCGGCACTGGATCCGGGGTGGATTTGGGATCAGGATCGGGATCAGGGTCAGGAATTTGGGATCTGGGAGATGGATTTGGGATCTGGAAGCAGCACCTGCTCCGGGAAGCTGTCGATGACTGCGAGTTGAGCCCCGAGCTCCCGGCACTGGATCCGGGGTGGATTTAGGATCAGGATCGGGATCAGGGCAGAATTTGGGATCAGGGTCAGGAATTTGGGATCTGGGAGGTGGATTTGGGATCAGGAATGTGGGATTTGGGATGTGGGAGGTGGATTTGGGATGTGGGAGGTGTCGATGACTGCGAGTTGAGCCCCGAGCTCCCGGCACTGGATCCGGGGTGGATTTGGGATCAGGATCGGGATCAGGGGCAGGAATTTGGGATCTGGAGGTGGATTTGGGGTCAGGAATGTGGGATTTAGGATCTGGAAGCGGCACCTGCTCCGGGAAGCTGTCGATGACTGCGAGTTGAGCCCCGAGCTCCCGGCACTGGATCCGGGGTGGATTTGGGATCAGGATTGGGATCAGGGTCAGGAATTTGGGATCAGGGTCAGGAATTTGGGATGTGGGAGATGGATTTGGGATCAGGAATGTGGGATTTGGGATCAGGAATGTGGGATTTGGGATCAGGAAGTGGCACCTGCTCCGGGAAGCTGTCGATGACTGCGAGTTGAGCCCCGAGCTCCCGGCACTGGATCCGGGGTGGATTTGGGATCAGGATCGGGATCAGGGGCAGGAATTTGGGATCAGGGTCAGGAATTTGGGATCTGGGAGATGGATTTGGGATCAGGAAGTGGCACCTGCTCCGGGAAGGTGTCGATGACTGCGAGTTGAGCCCCGAGCTCCCGGCACTGGATCCGGGGTGGATTTGGGATCAGGATCGGGATCAGGGGCAGGAATTTGGGATCAGGGTCAGGAATTTGGGATCAGGAATGTGGGATTTGGGATGTGGGAGGTGGATTTGGGATGTGGGAGGTGTCGATGACTGCAGAGTTGAGCCCGAGCTCCCGGCACTGGATCCAGGGGATTTGGGATCAGGATCGGGATCAGGGTCAGGAATTTGGGATCAGGGTCAGCAATTTGGGATCAGGGTCAGGAATTTGGGATCAGGAGGTGGATTTGGGATCAGGAATGTGGGATTTGGGATCAGGAAGCAGCACCTGCTCCGGGAAGCTGTCGATGACTGCGAGTTGAGCCCCGAGCTCCCGGCACTGGATCCGGGGTGGATTTGGGATCAGGATCGGGATCAGAGGCAGGAATTTAGGATCAGGGTCAGGAATTTGGGATCAGGAATGTGGGATTTGGGATGTGGGAGGTGGATTTGGGATCAGGAAGCAGCACCTGCTCCGGGAAGCTGTCGATGACTGCGAGTTGAGCCCCGAGCTCCCGGCACTGGATCCGGGGTGGATTCGGGATCAGGATCGGGATCAGGGTCAGGAATTTGGGATCAGGGTCAGGAATTTGGGATCTGGAGGTGGATTTGGGATCAGGAATGTGGGATTTGGGATCTGGGAGATGGATTTGGGATGTGGGAGGTGGATTTGGGTTCTGGAAGCAGCACCTGCTCCGGGAAGCTGTCGATGACTGCGAGTTGAGCCCCGAGCTCCCGGCACTGGATCTGGGATGGATTTGGGATCAGGATTGGGATCAGGGGCAGGAATTTGGGATCTGGAGGTGGATTTGGGATGTGGGAGGTGGATTTGGGATCTGGAAGCGGCACCTGCTCCGGGAAGCTGTCGATGACTGCGAGTTGAGCCCCGAGCTCCCGGCACTGGATCCGGGGTGGATTTGGGATCAGGATCGGGATCAGGGGCAGGAATTTGGGATCAGGGTCAGGAATTTGGGATCAGGAATGTGGGATTTGGGATCAGGAAGCGGCACCTGCTCCGGGAAGCTGTCGATGACTGCGAAGTTGAGCCCCGAGCTCCGGCACTGGATCCGAGGTGGATTTGGGATCAGGATCGGGATCAGGGGCAGGAATTTGGGATCAGGGTCTGGAATTTGGGATCAGGAATGTGGGATTTGGGATGTGGGAGATGGATTTGGGATGTGGGAGGTGTCGATGACTGCGAGTTGAGCCCCGAGCTCCCGGCACTGGATCCGGGGTGGATTTGGGATCAGGATCGGGATCAGGGGTAGGAATTTGGGATCAGGGTCAGGAATTTGGGATCAGGGTCAGGAATTTGGGATCTGGAGGTGGATTTGGGATCAGGAAGCAGCACCTGCTCCGGGAGCTCGTCAGTGACTCGCGAGTTGAGCCCTGAGCTCCCGGCACTGGATCCGGGGTGGATTTGGGATCAGGATCGGGATCAGGGATTTGGGATATGGATTGGGATCAAGGACAGGGATTTGGGAGGTGGATTTGGGATCAGGAATGTGGGATTTGGACGGAATGTGGATTGGGATCAAGTGGCACCTGCTCCGGGAAGCTGTCGATGACTGCGAGTTGAGCCCCGAGCTCCCGGCACTGGATCCGGGGTGGATTTGGGATCAGGATCGGGATCAGGGGCAGGAATTTGGGATCAGGGTCAGGAATTTGGGATCTGGAGGTGGATTTGGGGTCAGGAATGTGGGATTTGGGATGTGGGAGGTGGATTTGGGATGTGGGAGGTGTCGATGACTGCGAGTTGAGCCCCGAGCTCCCGGCACTGGATCCGGGGTGGATTTGGGATCAGGATCGGGATCAGGGTCAGGAATTTGGGATCAGGAATGTGGGATTTGGGATGTGGGAGATGGATTTGGGATCAGGGGCAGGAATTTGGGATCAGGGTCAGGAATTTGGGATGTGGGAGGTGGATTTGGGATCAGGAATGTGGGATTTGGGATCAGGAAGCGGCACCTGCTCCGGGAAGCTGTCGATGACTGCGAGTTGAGCCCCGAGCTCCCGGCACTGGATCCGGGGGGGATTTGGGATCAGGATCGGGATCAGGGTCAGGAATTTGGGATCTGCGAGGTGGATTTGGGATCAGGAATGTGGGATTTGGGATCAGGAAGTGGCACCTGCTCCGGGAAGCTGTCGATGACGGCGAGTTGAGCCCCGAGCTCCGAGCACTGGATCCGGGGTGGATTTGGGATCAGGATCGAGATCAGGGATTTGGGACATGGATTGGGATCAAGGACAGGGATTTGGGAGGTGGATTTGGGATCAGGAATGTGGGATTTGGGATCAGGAAGTGGCACCTGCTCCGGGAAGCTGTCGATGACTGCGAGTTGAGCCCCGAGCTCCCGGCACTGGATCCGGGCTGGATTTGGGATCAGGGATTTGGGATATGGATTGGGATCAAGGACAGGGATTTGGGAGGTGGATTTGGGATCAGGAATGTGGGATTTGGGATCAGGAATGTGGGATTTGGGATGTGGGAGGTGGATTTGGGATCAGGAATTTGGGATTTGGGATCAGGAATGTGGGATTTGGGATCAGGGTCAGGAATTTGGGATGTGGGAGGTGGATTTGGGATCAGGAATGTGGGATTTGGGATCAGGATCGGGATCAGGGTCAGGAATTTGGGATCAGGGTCAGGAATTTGGGATCAGGGTCAGGAATTTGGGATGTGGGAGATGGATTTGGGATCAGGAAGTGGCACCTGCTCCGGGAAGCTGTCGATGACTGCGAGTTGAGCCCCGAGCTCCCGGCACTGGATCCGGGGTGGATTTGGGATCAGGATCGGGATCAGGACCAGGAATTTGGGATCAGGGTCAGGAATTTGGGATCAGGGTCAGGAATTTGGGATCTGGGAGGTGGATTTGGGATCAGGAAGCAGCACCTGCTCCGGGAAGCTGTCGATGACTGCGAGTTGAGCCCCGAGCTCCCGGCACTGGATCTGGGGTGGATTTGGGATCAGGATCGGGATCAGGGGCAGGAATTTGGGATCAGGACCAGGAAAAGGATCAGGGATTTGGGATTTGGGATCAGGAATGTGGGATTTGGGATCAGGAAGCGGCACCTGCTCCGGGAAGCTGTCGATGACTGCGAGTTGAGCCCGAGCTCCCGGCACTGGATCCGGGGTGGATTTGGGATCAGGATCGGGATCAGGACCAGGAATTTGGGATCTGGGAGGTGGATTTGGGATCAGGAATGTGGGATTTGGGATCAGGAAGCGGCACCTGCTCCGGGAAGCTGTCGATGACTGCGAGTTGAGCCCCGAGCTCCCGGCACTGGATCCGGGGGGGATTTGGGATCAGGATCGGGATCAGGACCAGGAATTTGGGATCAGGGTCAGGAATTAGGGATCAGGGTCAGGAATTTGGGATCAGGAATGTGGGATTTGGGATCTGGAAGCGGCACCTGCTCCGGGAAGCTGTCGATGACTGCGAGTTGAGCCCCGAGCTCCCGGCACTGGATCCGGGGTGGATTTGGGATCAGGATCGGGATCAGGGGCAGGAATTTGGGATCAGGGTCAGGAATTTGGGATCAGGGTCAGGAATTTGGGATCAGGAATGTGGGATTTGGGATCAGGAAGCGGCACCTGCTCCGGGAAGCTGTCGATGACTGCGAGTTGAGCCCCGAGCTCCCGGCACTGGATCCGGGGTGGATTTGGGATCAGGATCGGGATCAGGGATTTGGGACATGGATTGGGATCAAGGACAGGGATTTGGGAGGTGGATTTGGGATCAGGAATGTGGGATTTGGGATCAGGAAGCAGCACCTGCTCCGGGAAGCTGTCGATGACTGCGAGTTGAGCCCCGAGCTCCCGGCACTGGCTCCGAGCTCGTTCCCAGCTGGATTTGCCCAGGGAGAAGTAGTAACATTTTCCATGGAAATATTCCCAGTCCCGGGAATTCGGCCCGCAGGGAAAAACTGCAGGGAAAAAAAGGGATAGGGGGGAAAGGGGGGTGGGGTTAGGGGGGATTTATTGGGAAAAAGGGGGATTTTTTTTTAAGGATTCAAAGGGATTTTCCTGAAGGGTTCCATGGGATTTTTCCTGAATTTTACATGGAATTTTTCTGGATTTTACATGGAATTTTTCTGGATTTTAAATGGATTTTTCTGGATTTTAAATGGATTTTTCCCGAATTTTTAATGGATTTTTCCTGAATTTTTAATGGATTTTTCCCAATTTTAATGGATTTTTCCCAGAATTTTAAGTGGATTTTTCCCGAATTTTTAATGGATTTTTCCCAATGGATTTTTCCCAATGGATTTTTCCCAATTTTTAATGGATCTTTCCCAGAATTTTAAGTGGATTTTTCCTGAATTTTTAATGGATTTTTCCCAATGGATTTTTCCCAATTTTTTAATGGATTTTTCCCAGAATTTTAAGTGGATTTTTCCCGAATTTTTAATGGATTTTTCCCAATGGATTTTTCCCAATTTTAATGGATTTTTCCTGAATTTTTAATGCAATTTTCCCAAATTTTTAATGGATTTTTCCCAATGGATTTTTCCCAATTTTTAATGGATTTTTCCAGAATTTTAAGTGGATTTTTCCCAAATTTTTAATGGATTTTTCCCAACGGATTTTTCCCAATTTTTAATGGATTTCTCCCAAAACTTTTAATGGATTTTTCCCAAGTTTTAAATGGGATTTTTCCCGAATTTTATATGGAATTTTCCCAATTTTTCAATGGAATTTTCCCAACTTTAAATGGGATTTTTTTCCCCCAAATTTTAAATGGAATTTTCCCAATTTTAAAATGGAATTTTCCCGAATTTTCAATGGTTTTTTTCCCAAATTTTAAATGGAATTTTCCCACATTTTAACTGGAATTTTCCCAAAGAATTCCCTGGGATTTTTCCCTGAATTTTAAATGGAATTTTCCCAACTTTAAACAGGATTTTTCCCAGATTTTCAACAGAATTTTCCCACATTTTAACTGGAATTTTCCCAAAGAATTCCCTGGGATTTTCCCTGAATTTTAAATGGGAGTTTTCCCAAATTTTAAATGGGATTTATCCCAAATTTTAAGTGGATTTTTCCCAAATTTTCAATGGGATTTTTCCCAAATTTTAAACAGAATTTCCCCAAATTTTAACTGGAATTTTCCCAAATTTTCAACAGAATTTTCCCACATTTTACCTGGAATTTTCCCAAAGAATTCCTTGGGATTTTTCCCGAGGGGAACTTGGGAAGGAATCCTAGGGGGGAATTTTGGGAATCCTGGGGATGAGGGGGAGGATTTTGGGGATTTTGGGGGATTTTTGGGATTCCAGAACTTCAGAAAATTCCAAGAAATTCCAAGAAATTCCAGGAAATTCCAGGAAATTCCAGGAAATTCCAGGAGGGACTCACGGAGCGAATCCCGGTTGGAAAAGTTGAGCTCCCGTTGAGGTTTCAGCTCCCGGAGTTGGGAAGAGAGGCCGGAAACTGGGAAAGAATTCCAGGAAAAATCTCATTAATTGGGGGGTTTTCCAAGGGGGAAAAACATTCCCAGGAATTTGGGGATGGGGGATGGGGGGAATTGGGGGATTTGGGGGAATTTTGGGATTTAAGGGGAATTTTGGGATTTGGGGAAATTTTGGGATTTAGGGAATTCTGGGATTTGGGGAATTTTCCTGGGATTTGGGATTTTGGGGGAATTTTAGGGGATTTAGGGAATTTTGGGATTTTATGGGTGGAATTTGGGATTTTAAGGGAATTTTGGGATTTAGGGGAATTTAGGATTTTGGGGGAACCTTCTGGGATTTTGGGATTTTGGGAGGGAATTTTCCTGGAATTTTGGGATTTGGGGGGGGAATTTTGGGGATTTAGGGGAATTCTCCTGGAATTTTGGGATTTTGGGGAAATTCTAGCATTTGGGGAGATTAGGAATTAAGGGGATTTTGGGATAGAATTTGGGATTTAGGGGAATTTTGGGATTTTGGGGGAATTTTGGGACTTTTAGGGAATTTTGGGGATTTTGGGGGAATTTTGGGATTTTAGGGAATTTTGGGATTTAGGGGGGGAATTTTGGGATTTAGGGGGTGGAATTCACCTGGAATTTTGGGATTTTGAGGTGAAATTCTCTTGGAATTTGGGATTTAGGGAGGGAATTTGGGATTTTGGGGGAATTCTCTTGGAATTTGGGATTTTGGGGGGTGGAATTTGGGATTTAGGGGGGGAATTTTGGGATTTTGGGGGGGAATTTTGGGATTAGGGAGGGAATTTGGGGATTTGGGGGGTGAAATTAAGGAATTAAATGGGATTTTGGGATGGGAATTGGGGATTTGGGGGGAAATTTTGGGATTTGGGGGGGAAATTTTGGGATTTGGGGGGGGAATTTTGGGATTTGGGGGGGAATTCTCCTGGAATTTGGGATTTTGGGAGGGAATTTTCCTGGAATTTTGGGATTTTGGGGGGGAAATTTTGGGATTTTGGGGGGAAATTCGGGTTAGGGGGGAATTTTGGGATTTGAGGAGGGAATTTTGGGATTTAGGGGGGGAATTTTCTTGGAATTTTGGGATTTTGAGGTGAAATTCTCTTGGAATTTGGGATTTAGGGAGGGAATTTGGGATTTTGGGGGGGAATTCTCTTGGAATTTGGGATTTTGGGGGGTGGAATTTGGGATTTTGGGGGGAATTTTGGGATTTTGGGAATTTTGGAGATTTAGGAGGGGGATTTAGAAATGAAGGAATTAAAGGGGATTTTGGGGGGGAATTTTGGAATTTAGGGAGGGAATTTTGGGATTTGGGGGGGAATTTTGGGATTTAGGGAGGGAATTTTAGGATTTGGAGAGATTTTGGGATTTAGGGGGGGAATTTTGGGATTTGGGGGGGGGAATTAAGGAATTAAAGGGGATTTTGGGGTGAAAATTTGGGATTTTGGGGGGGAATTTTGGGATTTTAGGGGGAAATTCAGGATTTTAAGGGTGGAATTTTGGGATTTTGGGGTGGGAAATTTGGGATTTGAGGGGGAAATTTGGGATTTAGGGACTATTTTACCTCTGGCAAGGGCCAGGCTGGAGAGGAAGAGGTTGAGGAGGAAGGAGAGGCCGAGCAGGAGCCAAAAAGGGAGGGAAGAGCGGAGAAAACTCCGGAGAAAACCCCGGTCTGGGGGGGAAATAAATGAAATATTCATTAAATAGTAAAAAAATAGCAATTAAAATTAATAAAATAGTAATTAATTCATGTTCTGTTCATTTTGAGTTAATCAATTAGTAAGTATAAATATAAATTAAAATAAAAATTTAACTAAAGATGCAAATAAAATCAAAAATAAAACATAAAAATTTAACTCAAAATACAAATAAAATAAAATAAATTAAATATTCATTCAAAATTAATAAAATAACAATTAAAAATTAATAAAATAGCAATTAAAAATTAATAAAATTGCAATTAATGAATGTGCTGTTCATTTTGAATTAATTAACTAGTAAGTATAAATATAAATTTAAATAAAAATTTAAATAAAAATGCAAATAAAATGAAAAATAAAATATAAGTATACTTATATGTAAGTAATATAGTAATAAATATATATAAAATAGATATAAATATAAAAAATACATAAATATAAAAAATGTATATAAAATATAGGCAAACATAAAATATATATAAATATATATAAATATATAAAAAATATATAAATATATATATTTACATGATATATCTTTGGGAAATAAATTAAATAATCATTAAATATTAATAAAATATGGGGGAAATAAATTAAATAATCATTAAATATTAATAAAATAACAATTAAAAATTCATAAAATAGCAATTAATGAATGTGCTGCTCATTTTGCATTAATTACTTAATTTATAAGTATAATAAAATAGCAATTAATGAATGTTCTACTAATTTTGCATTAATTAGTTAATTTATTAGTATAAATGTAAGGTTAAATGGAAATTTAAATAAAGATAAGAATAAAATGAAAAATAAAATATAAATATAAAAAATATAAATATAAATATGTTTATATGTAAGTAATAACATAAAAACTAAAAATATATATCTTATATATAAATATATATTATATATAATCTATAAAAATACATAGGAAAGTAATTAATATTATCCAATTATTAATAAATAGTTAATTAAGGGTATATAGTAATAAAAAGTAATTAATACTAATGTAATAAAGTTAAATAAATAAAAATTAAGAATATACTAATTAATAATAAGTAAATTAATTAATAATAAGAATTAATTTAAACCAATCAAATCAGAATTAAATGTTCATTAAAATTAATTAAAATTAATTAAATAAAAACTAACAAATTTAATTCTATATCAACCAAAAGTTAATTATTATGTAATTGTTAATAAACAATTACTTAAAGTTATATAGTAATAAAGCATAATTATAACATGAATAAAGCTAATTAAATAAAAAATGAAATAAATACAAATATATTATTATAAATTAATTTATTAATATATTTTAACTAATGTATTTTATATAATATATAATTAATATGTTAATTAAAATATATTGATATGTTAATCAATTAAAAGTATATTAATTAATAATAAGTAAATTAATTAATAATTAATAAACTGAAGTAACAATAAATGAGATTTTTAATTAATAATTAATAAACTGAACCAAAATAACAATAAATGAGATTTTGAGTCATAAAATAATTTAAATAATTTACAAAATAAAGGAAAGGGAAAGGAAATTCCCAGATTTTTCCAGCCCTGTTGACCAAAGGGTTAATGAATAACCAGGAATTTGGGGATTCAACAACCAAGAAGGGAATGGGGGAGGGGGGAAATTCAGGGATTTGCCTTGAAAATTCCTGGGGAAAAAAACCTGGAATTTGGGTTTGAAATCCTGGGAAAAAATCCTGGAATTTGGGGTTAAAATTTGGGGGAAAAAATATCAAAAAATTCTGGAATTTTCCTTGAAAATTTGGGGGAAAAAATCTTGGAATTTGGGTTTAAAATCCCCCCAAAAATCCTGGAATTTCCCTTTAAAATCCAAAAAAATTCCCCCAAAAAAGTCCTGGAATTTCTCCTTGAAAATCCCAGAAAATTCCCTGAAAAAAACTGGAATTTCCCTTCAAAATCCTGGGATAAAAAACCCTAAAAAATCCTGGAATTTCCTTTAAAATCCAGGGAAAAAATCCTGGAATTTCCTTTTAAAATCCTGAGAAAAAAAATCCTGGAATTTCCCTTTAAAATCCCAAGAAAAAAAGTCCTGGAATTTCCCTTTAAAATCCTGGAAAAAAAAACCAAAAAATCCTGGAATTTCCCTTTAAAATCCCAGAAAATCCCCCCAAAAAATCCTGGAATTTCTCCTTTAAAATCCTGAGAAAAAATCCTGGAATTTCCCTTTAAAATCCTGAGAAAAAATCCTGGAATTTCCCTTGAAAATCTTGGAAAAAAACCCCCCAAAAATCCTGGAATTTCTCATTAAAATCCTGGTAAAAAATCCCACAAAATCCTGGAATTTCCCTTTAAAATCCCAAGAAAAAAAATCCTGGAATTTCCTTTTAAAATCCTGAGAAAAAAAATCCTGGAATTTGCCTTTAAAATCCAAAAAAATTCCCCCAAAAAATCCTGGAATTTCCCTTTAAAATCCTGAGAAAAAAAATCCTGGAATTTCCATTTAAAATCCCAGAAAAAACCTCCAAAAAATCAAACCCAAAAAAATCCTGGAATTTCTCTTTGAAAATCCTGGAAAATCCCCCCAAAATCCTGGAATTTCTCCTTGAAAATCCCAGAAAATTCCCTGAAAAAAACTGGAATTTCCCTTTAAAATCCTGGGAAAAAAACCCCAAAAATCCTGGAATTTCCCTTAAAAATCCTGGGAAAAAAAATCTGGAATTTCCCTTTAAAATCCAGGGAAAAAATTCTGGAATTTCTCTTTAAAATCCCCCCAAAAAAACCCAAAAAATCTGGAATTTCCCTTTAAAATCCAGGGAAAAAATCCTTGAATTTCTCTTCAAACTCCTGATAAAAAATCCTGGAATTTCCCTTTAAAATCCTGGGATAAAAACCCATAAAAAATCCTGGAATTTCCCTTTAAAATCCCAAAAAATCCCCCAAAACTCCTGGAATTCACCTGTGAAGTCCCTGAGGTCGTGGTGCAGCTGCTCCTCTTCCTCCATCCTGGAAAAATCTGGGAAAAGGGGATAAAAAAAAAATAAATCTGGGAATGAGGGAGAAAAGAAGGAAAAAAAACCCAAAAAAAAGCAAAAAAAAAGGGGATTTTTGATCCCTGGAATCAAAAAAAACCCTCTTGGAATGGTTTAAAAATTAAAAATTAACCCAAAGTGGTTTTTTTTTTATTTAAGGTCGATTTGTCCTGGGAAAACAACAAAAAAAATTGGGATTGGGGCCAATTTTTGGGAATTCTGGGGAAAAAAAAGGAGGTTTTTGGGGTTTATTGGAGATTTTTGGGGTTTTTTTTGGGGTGGGAAAGTGGAAAATTGGGAATGAAAGGGGGGGGGAAATTGGGAATAAAATTTTTATCCCCAAAATTCCCCTTTTTTTCCCACCATTTTCCCCCCCAAAATCCCTCTTTTAATCCAATTTTCCCCCCTAAATTCCCTCTTTTATTCCAATTTTCCCCCAAACTCCTTTTTTCCCCACATTTTTATCCCAAATAATTCCTCTTTATTCCAATTTTCCCCCCCAAATCCCTCTTTTATCCCAATTTCCCCCCCAAAATCCCTCTTTTATTCCATTTTTTCCCCCTAAAATCCCTCTTTATCCCCATTTTTATCCCCCAAATCCCTCTTTTTTCCCCCATTTTTCCCCTTCCCAGGAGGAGGAAGAAGAGGAAGAGGAGGAGGAAGAGGAAAAGGCGGAAAAGAAGAGGAAAAAAAGGAGGAAGAGAAGAGAAGGAGGAGGAGGAGGAAAAGAAGAGGAAGAGGAGGAGGAAAAAGAGAAGGAGGAGGAGGAAAAGGAGAGGAAGAGAAGGAGGAGGAGAAGAAGAGGAAAATAAGGAGGAAAAAGAGGAAAAGGAGGAGGAAGAGAAGAGGAAAAGAAGAGGAAGAGAAGGAGAAGGAAGAAAAAGAGAAGGAGGAAGAGGAGAAGGAGGAAGAGGAAAAAAGAGGAAGAGGAGAAAACGGAGGAGGCAGAAAAGAAGAGGAAAAAAAGGAGGAAGAAGAGAAGGAAAGAGGAGAAGGAGGAGGAAAAGAAGAGGAAGAGAAGGAAAAGGAGAAGGAGGAAGAGGAGAAGGAGAGGAAGAAAAAGGTGAAGAGGAAGAGGAAAAAAAAGTGGAAGAAAAGGAGGAAGAAGGGAAGGAAGAGGCAAAGGAGGAGGAAAAGAAGAGGAAGAAAAGGATGAAGTGAAGAGGAAGAGGAAAAGAAGAGGAAGAGAAGGAGGAAGAGGAAAAGAAGAGGAAGAAAAAGATGAAGTGAAGAGGAAAAGAAGGAGGAAGAGGAGAAGGAAAAGAGGCAAAGGAGGAGGAAGAGAAGCAGGAGGAGGAAAAGAAGAGGAAGAAAAGGGTGAGGTGAAGAGGAAGAGGAAAAGAAGAGGAAGAGAAGGAGGAAGAGGAGAAGGAAAAGAGGGAAAGGAGGGGGAAGAGCCCCCTGGGGGTACCTGAGGGGCTCCCGCCGCCATTTTGGTGCCCCCCCCAACAACTCCGCCGGTTGCCATGGCAACCCTCCCGCGTGACGTCACTTCCCGAAAGGTACCTGGGGGGGGGAGAGGCTCAAAATGGCCCAAGAGGCCCCTGAGGGAGGTCGGGAGAGGGTGAAGCTTCAAAATCTTCGCGATGATGAATTTATTTATAATAAAAATATTTTTTGGGGGGTGGTTTTGAGGCTTTTTTTGACCTCCTCCCCCGAATTCGCGTGCCCGTTAAGTTTGTCCCTCTCGCGGCCACCGTCGCGCTTCGCCCGGAACTACAAAAATGGCGCCCTGCGTGGCTTCGCCTCGCGTTTGATTGACAGACAAATTCACCAATCGCAGAGCGGGATTTTTGGCGCCGCCGAGAGGACAGCCAATAGGAGGGGAGGACGTATGGGTAAGCCCCGCCCACGACGTGTGGGCGGTGAGGGCGGGGCGGGCGGGGAGGGGAGAAGGGAAGGGGAAATGGCGGAGGAGGAGAAGCTGCCCCCGGGGTGGGAGAAGAGGATGAGCCGAAGCTCCGGTGAGGGGAAAGGAGGCCCCTGGGGGTCCTGGGGGTTAGGGGAAAGGGGTTGGGGGTGGGAAAATGGGGGGTGGGGAGGGGCGCGGGGAAAGGGGGTGGGGGGGCGGCAGGACCTGAGGGGGTTTGACCCCGTGAGGGGATTTTGGGGGGTCACCCCAATTAGGGGGTTTTTAGGGCTTTTGGCCTCAGTGAGGGATTTTGGGGGTCACCCTAATCGGGGGTTTTTAGGGGGTTTCTGCCTCCAGTGAGGGGATTTTAGGGTCTTTGCCTCAGTGAGGGGGATTTTGGGGGGTCATTGATCAGTGAGGGGGCCACCCCAGTGAGGAGGATTTGGGGGCTCACCCCAATTAGGGGTTTTTTTGAGGGGGTCTTCACCTCAGTGAGGGGATTTGAGGGGGTCACCCCAATTTGGGGGTCTTTGCCCAGTGAGGGGATTTTGGGGGCATCATCCCAATCAAGGGGGTTTTTGGGGTTTTCACCTCAGTGAGGGGATTTGGGGGGTCACCCCAATCAGGGGCTTTGGGGGCATCATCCCAATCAGGGTTTTTAGGGGGTTTTCACCCCAGTGAGGGGATTTTGGGGGTCTTTGCCTCAGTGAGGGGGATTTTGGGGGTCACCCCAATTAGGGGTTTTTGGGGGTTTTCTCTCAGTGAGGGATTTTGGGGTCACCCCAATTAGGGGCTTTTTAGGGAGTTTCACCTCAGTGAGGGGGATTTTGGGGGTCACCGCAACTGTGGGCTTTTTAGGGTCTTTGCCTCAGTGAGGGGATTTTGGGGGTCACCCTAATTAGGGGTTTTTAGGGGTTTCACCTCAGTGAGGGGATTTTGGGGGTCTTTGCCTCAGTGAGGGGGATTTTGGGGGTCACCCCAATTAGGGGTTTTTAGGGGGTTTCACCTCAGTGAGGGGGATTTTGGGGGGGTCACCCCAATCAGGGGGTTTTTTAGGGGGTTTTCAGCCTCAGTGAGGGGGATTTTGGGGGTCTTTGCCTCAGTGAGGGGGATTTTGGGGGTCACCCCAATCAGGGGTTCTTTTAGGGGGTTTCACCTCAGGAGGGGGATTTTAGGGGTCTTTTGCCCCAGTGAGGGGGATTTTGGGGGTCACCCCAATTAGGGGTTTTTTAGGGGGTTCTGCACCTCAGGGAGGGGGATTTTAGGGTCTTTGCCTCAGTGAGGGAGTTTTGGGGTGGTCCTTGCCTCAGGGAGGGATTTTGGGGGTCACCCAATTAGGGGGTTTTTAGGGGTCTTTGCCTCAGTGAGGGGGATTTTGGGGGTCACCCCAATCAGGGCTTTTTAGGGGGTCTTTGCCTCTAGTGAGGGGGATTTGGGGGTTCACCCCAACTCAGGGGGCTTTTTAGGGGTTTCTCTCCTCAGAGAGGGGATTTTGGGGGCCACCCCAATCAGGGGTTTTTTGGGGGTTTCACCTCAGTGAGGGGGATTTTGGGGGGCTCACCCCAATCAGGGGGGTTTTTTAGGGGGTCTTTACCTCTGTGAGGGGGATTTTTGGGGGATCACCCCAACTAGGGTTCTTTTAGGGGTTTCTCCTCAGTGAGGGGATTTTGGGGTGGTCTTTGCCTCAGTGAGGGGATTTTGGGGGATCTCCGCTAATCAGGGGTTTTTAGGGGGTTTCACCTCAGGAGGGATTTGGGGTGGTCCTTGCCTCAGTGAGGGGGGTCACCCCAATTAGGAGGATTTTAGGGGTCTTTGCCCCAGTGAGGGGGATTTTGGGGGTCTTTGCCTCAGTGAGGGGATTTTGGGGGTCACCCCAATCAGGGCTTTTTAGGGGGTTTTCCCTCAGTGAGGGGGATTTGGGGGCTCACCCCAATTATGGGGTTTTTGGGGGGTTTTTCTCCCAGTGAGGGGATTTTGGGGGTCTTTGCCCTCAGTGAGGGGGATTTTGGGGGCTTCACCCCAATCAGGGGTGTTTTTAGGGGGTTTTCTGCCTCAGTGAGGGATTTTGGGGGTCACCCCAATCAGGGGTCTTTTTAGGGGTTTTCACCCCAGTGAGGGGATTTTGGGGGTCTTTGCCTCAGTGAGGGGGATTTTGGGGAGGTCTTTGCCTCAGTGAGGGGGGTTTTCACCTCAATGAGGGGGATTTTGGGGGTGTCACCCAATTAGGGGTTTTTAGGGGGTCTTTACTCTCAGGGAGGGGGATTTCGGGTGGTCTTTGCCTCAGTGAGGGGGATTTTGGGGTCACCCTCAATCAGGGGTTTTTTGGGGGTCTTTGCCTCAGTGAGGGGGATTTTAGGGCTTTTGGCCCCAGTGAGGGATTTTGGGGGCCACCTCAGGGTTTTTAGGGGGTTTCACCTCAGTGAGGGGATTTTGGGGGGTTTTCTCAGTGAGGGATTTTGGGGGCCACCAATTAGGGTTTTTAGGGGATTTCACTCAGTGAGGGGGATTTTGGGGTGGTCTTTGCCTCAGTGAGGGGGATTTGGGGGGGTCACCCCAATCAGGGGGTTTTTGGGGGTTTCTTTGGCCTCAGGAGGTGGATTTTGGGGGTCACCCCATCAGGGGTTTTTTAGGGGGTTTCACCTCAGTGAGGGGGATTTTGGGGCTCACCCCAATTAGGGGTTTTTTTGGGGAGGTTCTCTCAGTGAGGGGGATTTTAGGGTCTTTGCCTCAGGGAGGGGGATTTTGGGGGGTTTCACCTCAGGGAGGGGGATTTTGGGGGGTCACCCCACTAGGGGCTTTTTTGGGGGTTTTCTGCTCAGTGAGGGGGATTTGGGGGTCACCCCAACTAGGTGTTTTTGGGGAGTCTCCTCAGTGAGGGGGATTTTGGGGGCCACCCCAATTAGGGGGTTTTAGGGGGTCTTTGCCTCAGTGAGGGGATTTTGGGGGTCACCCCAATCAAGGGGTTTTGGGGGTCACCCTAATCAAGGGGTTTTGGGGGTCACCCGAATCAGGGGGTTTTTTTGGGGGTTTTCTCCTCAGGAGGGGGATTTTGGGGGATCTCCCCAATTAGGGGTTTTTAGGGCCTTTGCACCCAGTGAGGGGGTTTTTGGGGGTCACCCCAATCAGGGGTTTTTTTGGGGGTTTCCACCTCAGGGAGGGGGATTTTGGGGGGTTTGCCTCAGTGAGGGGATTTTGGGGTCACCCCAATCAGGGGTTTTTAGGGGGTTTTCACCTCAGTGAGGAGGATTTTGGGGGGTCTTTGCCTCAGTGAGGGGATTTAGGGTCTTTGCCTCAGTGGGGATTTTGGGGGTCACCCCAATCAGGGGTTTTGGGGGTCTTTGCCTCAGTGAGGGGATTTTGGGGTTTGCACTCAGTGAGGGGGTTTTGGGGGTCACCCCAATCAGGGGATTTTGGGGGTCACCCCAATTAGGAGGATTTTGGGGGGTTTTCTCTCAGTGAGGGAGTTTTGGGGGGATCACCCCAATCAGGGGGTTTTGGGGGCTTACCCCAATCAGGGGGTTTGGGGGTCTTTCCCTCAGTGAGGGGGATTTTGGGGGGGTCACCCCAATCAGGGGGGTTTTTTAGGGGGGTCTTTGCCTCAGGGAGGGAACCAACTTGCTCTTTTGGGTCAATAAATCGCTATTTTAGATCAATAAATTGCTATTTTAGGTCAATAAATCTCTATTTTAGGTCAATAAATGGCTGTTTTAGGTCAATAAATCACAATTTTAGGTCAATAAATCGCTATTTTTGGTCAATAAATGGCTGTTTTAGGTCAATAAATCGCTATTTTTGGTCAATAAATCTCTATTTTAGGTCAATAAATCACTATTTTAGGTCAATAAATCACTATTTTAGGTCAATAAATGGCTATTTTAGGTCAATAAATCCCTATTTTTGGTCAATAAATCCCTATTTTAGGTCAATAGATGGCTGTTTTATGTCAATAAATCACTATATTAGGTCAATAGATGGCTGTTTTATGTCAATAAATCACTATTTTAGGTCAATAAATCCCTATTTTAGGTCAATAAATGGTTGGTTTATGTCAATAAATCTCTACTTTAGATCAATAAATCCCTATTTTAGGTCAATAAATCCCTATTTTAGATCAATAAATCCCTATTTTAGATCAATAAATCACTACTTTAGGTCTATAAATCTCTATTTTAGGTCAATAAATGGGTTTTTTTTGGGTCCCCAACCCATTTTTGGGGGTCCCCTTCCTATTTTTGGGGGTCCCCACCCCATTTTTGACCTCCTTAACCCCCTTTTTTTTTTCATCCCCTCCCCTCCCCCCAGGCCGAGTTTACTACTTCAACCACCTGACCAACGCCAGCCAATGGGAGCGGCCGCACGGCTCCGGCTCGGGATCGGGATTGGGATCGGGATCGGGATCGGGCTCGGGGCGGTCGGAGCCGGGCAGGGTGCGGTGTTCCCACCTCCTGGTGAAGCACAACCAGTCCCGCCGGCCCTCGTCCTGGAGGCAGGACAAGATCACCAGGTCCAAGGAGGAGGCCCTGGAGCTCGTCAATGGTACCTGGAGAAACCTGGGAATGGGAAAAATGGGATTGGGAATGCTGGGAATACTGGGAATAATGGGATTGGGGAGGCAGGACAGGATCACCCCATCCACAACCAGTCGAGCTGCCCCTCGTCCTGGAGGCAGGACAAGATCACCAGGTCCAAGGAGGAGGCCCTGGAACTCCTCAATGGTACCTGGAGAAACCTGGGAATGGGAAAAATGGGATTGGGAATGCTGGGAATGGGAATAATGGGATTGGGAATGCTGGGAATGGGAATAATGGGGTTGGGGATGGTGGGGATGGGATTGGGAATGGTGGGGGTGGGATTGGAGATGGTGGGGATGGGATTGGGGATGGGGTTGGGGAGGCAGGACAAGATCACCAGGTCCAAGGAGGAGGCCCTGGAGCTCGTCAATGGTACCTGGAGAAACCTGGGAATGGGATTGGGAATGCTGGGAATACTGGGAATAATGGGAATAATGGAATTGGGGATAGTGGGGATGGGATTGGGGATGGGGTTGGGGAGGCAGGACAAGATCACCAGGTCCAAGGAGGAGGCCCTGGAGCTCGTCAATGGTACCTGGAGAAACCTGGGAATGGGAAAAATGGGATTGGGAATGCTGGGAATGGGAATAACGGGGTTGGGGATGGGGGGATGAACTGAGACGGGGGGATGGGATTGGATAGGGCTGGGAGGCAGGACAAGATCAGGTCAAGGAGTGAGCCCTGGAGCTCCTCAATGGTACCTGGAGAAACCTGGGAATGGGAAAAATGGGATTGGGAATGCTGGGAATGGGATTGGGAATGCTGGAGATGGTGGGGATGGGATTGGAGATGGTGGGGATGGGATTGGGGATGGGGTTGGAGAGGCAGGACAAGATCACCAGGTCCAAGGAGGAGGCCCTGGAGCTCCTCAATGGTACCTGGAGAAACCTGGGAATGGGAAAATGGGATTGGGAATGCTGGGAATGGGAATAATGGGAATGCTGGAGATGGTGGGGATGGGATTGGGAGATGGTGGGGATGGGATTGGGGATGGGGTTGGGGAGGCAGGACAAGATCACCAGGTCCAAGGAGGAGGCCCTGGAGCTCGTCAATGGTACCTGGGGAAACCTGGGAATGGGATTGGGAATGCTGGGAATGGGATTGGGAATGTTGGGAATGGGAATAATGGGGTTGGAGATGGTGGGGATGGGATTGGGGATGGGGTTGGGGGAGACAGGACAAGATCAGCAGGTCCAAGGAGGAGGCCCTGGAGCTCCTCAATGGTACCTGGAGAAACCTGGGAATGGGAATAATGGGATTGGGAATGCTGGGAATGGGATTGGGAATGCTGGGGATGGGATTGGGAATACTGGGAATGGTGGGGATGGGATTGGGGATGGGATTGGGGATGGGGTTGGGGAGGCAGGACAAGATCACCAGGTCCAAGGAGGAGGCCCTGGAGCTCCTCAATGGTACCTGGAGAAACCTGGGAATGGGAAATGGGATTGGGAATGCTGGGAATGGGAATAATGGGGTTGGAGATGGTGGGCTGGAGAAACCTGGGAATGGGAAATTGGGAATGTGGGAATGCTGGGAATGGTGGGAACAATGGGAATGGACTGGGGATGGTGGGATGGGATTGGGGATGGGGTTGGGGAGGCAGGACAAGATCACCAGGTCCAAGGAGGAGGCCCTGGAGCTCGTCAATGGTACCTGGAGAAACCTGGGAATGGGAATAATGGGATTGGGAATGCTGGGGATGGGAATAATGGGATTGGGAATGGTGGGGATGGAACTGGAGATGGTGGGGATGGGGTTGGGGATGGGGTTGGGGAGGCAGGACAGGATCAGCAGGTCCAAGGAGGAGGCCCTGGAGCTCGTCAATGGTACCTGGAGAAACCTGGGAATGGGAATAATGGGATTGGGAATGCTGGGAATGCTGGGAATGGTGGGGATGGAACTGGAGATGGTGGGGATGGGATTGGGGATGGGGTTGGGGAGGCAGGACAAGATCACCAGGTCCAAGGAGGAGGCCCTGGAGCTCCTCAATGGTACCTGGAGAAACCTGGGAATGGGAATAATGGGATTGGGAATGCTGGGAATGGGATTGGGAATGCTGGGAATGGAGTTGGAAATGGTGGGGATGGGATTGGAGATGGGGTTGGGGGAGGCAGGACAAGATCACCAGGTCCAAGGAGGAGGCCCTGGAGCTCGTCAATGGTACCTGGAGAAACCTGGGAATGGGAATAATGGGATTGGGAATGCTGGGAATGGTGGGGATGGAACTGGAGATGGTGGGGATGGAACTGGGGATGGTGGGGATGGGGTTGGGGGAGGCAGGACAAGATCAGCAGGTCCAAGGAGGAGGCCCTGGAGCTCGTCAATGGTACCTGGAGAAACCTGGGAATGGGAAAAATGGGATTGGGAATGCTGGGAATAATGGGAATAATGGGATTGAGGAGGCAGGACAGGATCACCCCATCCACAACCAGTCCCGCCGGCCCTCGTCCTGGAGGCAGGACAAGATCAGCAGGTCCAAGGAGGAGGCCCTGGAGCTCCTCAATGGTACCTGGAGAAACCTGGGAATAATGGGATTGGGAATGCTGGGAATGGTGGGGATGGAACTGGAGATGGTGGGGATGGGATTGGGATTGTGAGATTTTGGGATTGGGGATGGGGTTGGGGAGGCAGCACAAGATCACCAGGTCCAAGGAGGAGGCCCTGGAGCTCGTCAATGGTACCTGGAGAAACCTGGGAATGGGATTGGGAATGCTGGGAATGGTGGGGATGGAACTGGGGATGGTGGGGATGGAACTGGAGATGGTGGGGATGGGATTGGGGATGGGGTTGGGGAGGCAGGACAAGATCAGCAGGTCCAAGGAGGAGGCCCTGGAGCTCCTCAATGGTACCTGGAGAAACCTGGGAATGGGATTGGGAATGTTGGGAATGGGATTGGGAATGCTGGGAATGGGACTGGGAATACTGGGAATGGTGGGGATGGGATTGGGGATGGGGTTGGGGAGGCAGGACAAGATCAGCAGGTCCAAGGAGGAGGCCCTGGAGCTCCTCAATGGTACCTGGAGAAACCTGGGAATGGGACTGGGAATGCTGGGAATACTGGGATTGGGAATGCTGGGAATGGGACTGGGAATGGTGGGGATGGAACTGGAGATGGTGGGGATGGAATTGGGGATGGTGGGGATGGGATTGGGGATGGGGTTGGGGAGGCAGGACAAGATCACCAGGTCCAAGGAGGAGGCCCTGGAGCTCGTCAATGGTACCTGGAGAAACCTGGGAATACTGGGAATAATGGGATTGGGAATGCTGGGAATGGTGGGATTGGGATTGGGGAGGCAGGACAGGATCACCCCATCCACAACCAGTCCCGCCGGCCCTCGTCCTGGAGGCAGGACAAGATCAGCAGGTCCATGGAGGAGGCCCTGGAGCTCGTCAATGGTACCTGGAGAAACCTGGGAATGGGAAAAATGGGATTGGGAATGCTGGGAATGGGACTGGGAATACTGGGAATGGTGGGGATGGAACTGGAGATGGTGGGGATGGGATTGGGGAGGCAGGACAAGATCACCAGGTCCAAGGAGGAGGCCCTGGAGCTCGTCAATGGTACCTGGAGAAACCTGGGAATGGGAATAATGGGATTGGGAATGCTGGGAATAGGATTGGGAATGGTGGGGATGGTGGGGATGGGATTGGGGATGGGGTTGGGGGAGGCAGGACAAGATCACCAGGTCCAAGGAGGAGGCCCTGGAGCTCGTCAATGGTACCTGGAGAAACCTGGGAATGGGAAAAATGGGATTGGGAATGCTGGGGATACTGGGAATAATGGGATTGGGGATGGTGGGAATTGTGAGAATTTTTTTTCCCTGTAAATGAATTTTTCTCCCTGTAAATGAGGTTTTTTTCCTTGTAAATGAATTTTTTTCCTTGTAAATGAGGTTTTTTTCCTTGTAAATGAATTTTTTTCCTTGTAAATGAATTTTTTTTTTGGAAATGAGGTTTTTTTGCCTGTAAATGAGTTTTTTTCCTTGTAAGTGAGTTTTTTGGCCTGTAAATGAGTTTTTCTCCCTGTGAGGTTTTTTTCCCTGTAAATGAGGGATTTTTTCCTGTAAATTATTTTTTTCTCCCTGTAAATGAGGTTTTTTTCCTGTAAATGAGTTTTTTTGCCTGTAAATGAGTTTTTCTTCCTGCAAATGAATTTTTTTCCCTCTAAATGAGTTTTTTTTCATTGTAAATTAATTTATTTCCCTGTAAATAAGGTGTTTTTTCCTGTAAATTATTTTTTTCTCCCTGAAAATGAGGTTTTTTCCCTATAAATGAGTTTTTCTTCCTGTAAATGAGGTTTTTTTACCTGTAAATCAGGTTTTTTTCCTTGTAAATGAGGGTTTTTTTCCTTGTAAATGAGGTTTTTTTCCTTGTAAATGAATTTTTTTTTTTCCTTGTGAATCAGGTTTTTTCTTTGTAAATGAATTTTTTTCTTTGTAAATGAGGTTTTTTTGCCTGTAAATGAGTTTTTTTCCTTGTAAATGAGTTTTTTGGCCTGTAAATGAGTTTTTCTTCCTGTAAGTGAATTTTTTTCCCTGTAAATGAGGTTTTTTTACCTGTAAATGAGGTTTTTTTCCCTGTAAATGAGGGTTTTTTCCTTGTAAATGAGGTTCTTTTTCCTTGTAAATGAATTTTTTTCCTTGTGAATCAGTTTTTTTCTTTGTAAATGAATTTTTTTTTTGTAAATGAGTTTTTTTCCTTGTAAATGAGTTTTTTTCCTTGTAAATGAGTTTTTTTTGTCTGTAAATGAGTTTTTCTCCCTGTGAGTTTTTTTTCCCTGTAAATGAGGTTTTTTTCCTTGTAAATGAGGTTTTTTCCCTGTAAATGAGGTTTTTTTCCTGTAAATGAGTTTTTTTGCCTGTAAATGAGTTTTTCTTCCTGCAAATGAATTTTTTTCCCTCTAAATGAGTTTTTTTTCATTGTAAATGAGTTTATTTCCCTGTAAATAAGGTGTTTTTCCCTGTAAATTATTTTTTCCCCTGTAAATGACTTTTTTCTCTCTGTAAATGAGGATTTTTTCCCTATAAATAAGGTTTTTTTGCTGTAAATGAGATTCTTTCTCCCTGTAAATGAGTTTTTTTCCCTGTAAATGAGAGTTTTTTTCCTGTAAATCATTTTTTCTCCCTGTAAATGATATTTTCTCTCTGTAAATGGGGATTTCTTCCCTATAAATAAGGTTTTTTTGCTGTAAATGAGATTTTTTCTCCCTTTAAATGAGGTTTTTTCCCTGTAAATGAGGTTTTTTCTCCCTGTAAATGCATTTTTTCCCTGTAAAGTATTTTTTCCCCTGTAAATGACTTTTTTCTCCCTGTAAATGAGTGTTTTTTCCCTATAAATAAGATTTTTTTTCCTGTAAATGAGGTTTTTTCTCCCTGTAAATGAGGTTTTTTCCCTGTAAATGAGATTTTTTTTTCCTGTAAGTCATTTTTTCTCCCTGTAAATGACATTTTCTCCCTGTAAATGACTTTTTTCTCTCTGTAAATGAGGATTTTTTCCCTATAAATAAGATTTTTTTTGCTGTAAATGAGATTTTTTCTCCCTGTAAATGAGGTTTTTTCCCTGTAAATGAGATTTTTTTTCCTGTAAATCATTTTTTCTCCCTGTAAATCATTTTTTTTCCCTGTAAATCATTTTTTCTCCCTGTAAATGACTTTTTTCCCTCCCATTTCTTGCAGGTTACATCCAGAAAATCAAATCAGGGGAGGAGGATTTCGAGTCTTTGGCCTCCCAGTTCAGCGACTGCAGCTCGGCCAAGGCCGGAGGGGATTTGGGGGCCTTTGGCAGAGGTGAGAAATTTTAACCTAAAACCCCAAAAAACACCCCAAAACCACTCAGTTTGGGGCCAAATCCCTCTCCAACCATTCCCAAATCCCTAATTCCCTGTTTTTTTGGGAATCTCCCCCCAGGGCAGACTCAGAAACCGTTGGAGGACGCGTCGTTGGCACTGCGGGTGGGGCTGTTTTGGGGCCATTTTAGGGCCAATTTTGGGGCCGATTTTGGGGTCAATTCCATTCCAAATCATCCCCAATCGTTCCCAAATCCCTAATTCCCTGTTTTTTTTGGACTCTCCCCTCAGGGCAGATGCAGAAGCCGTTCGAGGACGCGTCGTTCGCGCTGCGGGCGGAGCCCTTTTGGGGTCGATTCCATCCCCAAACCTCTCCAAAATTCCCAATTTTCTGGTTTTTTTGGGGTCGATTCCATCCCAAATCATCCCCAATCCTTCCGAAATCCCTAATTCCCTGTTTTTCTGGGACTCTCCCCTCAGGGCAGATGCAGAAGCCGTTGGAGGACGCGTCGTTGGCGCTGCGGGTGGGGCCATTTTGGGCCCATTTTGGGGTTGATTCCATCCCAAATCATCCCAAATCATCCCCAAATCATCCCCAATCATCCCCCAATTCATCCCCAATCGTTCCCAAATCCCTAATTCCCTGTTTTTTTTGGACTCTCCCCTCAGGGCAGATGCAGAAGCCGTTCGAGGACGCGTCGTTGGCGCTGCGGGTGGGGTCATTTTGGGGTCAATTCCATCCCCAAACCTCCCCAAAACTCCCAAGTTTCTGGGTTTTTTGGGGTCAATTCCATCCCAAATCATCCCAAATCATCCCCAAATCATCCCCAATCGTTCCCAAATCCCTAATTCCCTGTTTTTTTTGGACTCTCCCCTCAGGGCAGACGCAGAAGCCGTTCGAGGACGCGTCGTTGGCGCTGCGGGCGGGGCTGTTTTGGGGCCGATTCCATCCCCAAACCTCCCCAAAATTCTCAATTTTCTGGGTTTTTTGGGGTCGATTCCATCCCAAATCATCCCCAATCCTTCCCAAATCCCTAATTCCGTGTTTTTTTTGGAATCTCCCCGCAGGGCAGATGCAGAAGCCGTTCGAGGACGCGTCGTTCGCGCTGCGGGCGGGGCCCTTTTGGGACCATTTTGACGCCGATTTTGGGGTCAATTCCATCCCAAATCATCTTCAATCATTCCCAAATCCCTAATTCCCTGTTTTTTTTGGACTCTCCCCTTAGGGCAGATGCAGAAGCCGTTCGAGGACGCGTCGTTGGCGCTGCGGGCGGGGCCATTTTGGGACCATTTTGACGCCGATTTTGGGGTCAATTCCATCCCAAATCACCCCAATTCCTCCCCAATCGTTCCCAAATCCCTAATTCCCTGGTTTTTTTGGACTCTCCCCGCAGGGCAGATGCAGAAGCCGTTCGAGGACGCGTCGTTGGCGCTGCGGATGGGGCCGATTTTGGGCCCGTTTTGGGGTCAATTCCATCCCCAAACCTCCCCAAAATTCCCAATTTTGGGGGTTTTTCGGGGTCGATTCCATCCCAAATCATCCCCAATCATCCCCCAATCATCCCCAATCCTTCCCAAATCCCTAATTCCCTGTTTTTCTGGGAATCTCCCCTCAGGGCAGATGCAGAAGCCGTTCGAGGACGCGTCGTTCGCGCTGCGGGTGGGGCCATTTTGGGGCCGATTCCATCCCAAATCATCCCCAAAATCCCTCATTCCATGGTTTTTTTTGGGGTCAATTCCATCCCAAATCATCCCCAATCATTCCCAAATCATCCCCAATCATTCCCAAATCCCTAATTCCCTGTTTTTTTTGGACTCTCCCCCTCAGGGCAGATGCAGAAGCCGTTCGAGGACGCGTCGTTGGCGCTGCGGGCGGGGCCCTTTTGGGGCCGATTCCATCCCAAATCATCCCCAAAATCCCTCATTCCATGGGTTTTTTGGGGTCTATTCCACCCCAATTCCACCCCAAATCATCCCCAATCATCTCCAATCGTTCCCAAATCCCTAATTCCCTGTTTTTTTTGGACTCTCCCCGCAGGGCAGATGCAGAAGCCGTTCGAGGACGCGTCGTTGGCGCTGCGGGTGGGACCATTTTGGGGCCATTTTGACGCCGATTTTGGGGTCAATTCCACCCCAAATCATCCCAAATCATCCCAAATCATCTCCAATCCTTCCCAAATCCCTAATTCCCTGTTTTTTTTGGACTCTCCCCGCAGGGCAGATGCAGAAGCCGTTGGAGGACGCGTCGTTGGTGCTGTGGATGGGGCCCTTTTGGGACCATTTTGGGGTCAATTCCATCCCCAATCACCCCCAATCCTTCCCAAATCATCCCCAATCATCCCAAATCATCCCCAATCCTTCCCAAATCCCTAATTCCCTGTTTTTTTTGGACTCTCCCCCCAGGGCAGATGCAGAAGCCGTTCGAGGACGCGTCGTTGGCGCTGCGGGCGGGGCCGATTTTGGGCCCGTTTTGGGGTCAATTCCATCCCAAATCATCCCCAAATCATCCCCAATCATCCCCAAATCATCCCCAATCCTTCCCAAGTCCCTAATTCCCTGTTTTTTTTGGAATCTCCCCTCAGGGCAGACGCAGAAGCCGTTGGAGGACGCGTCGTTCGCGCTGCGGGTGGGGCCGTTTTGAGGCCATTTTAGGGCCAATTTTGGGGCCGATTTTGGGGTCAATTCCATCCCAAATCATCCCAAATCATCCCCAATCATCCTCAATCATTCCCAAATCCCTAATTCCCTGGTTTTGTGGGATTCTCCCCTCAGGGCAGATGCAGAAGCCGTTCGAGGACGCGTCGTTCGCGCTGCGGGCGGGGCCCTTTTGGGGCCGATTCCATCCCCAAACCTCCCCAAAATTCCCAATTTTGGGGGTTTTTTCAGGAATTTTTTAGGTCAATTCCTCCCCAATCCTTCCCAAATCCCTAATTCCCTGTTTTTTTTGGACTCTCCCCCCAGGGCAGATGCAGAAGCCGTTCGAGGACGCGTCGTTGGCGCTGCGGGCGGGGCCCTTTTGGGGTTGATTCCATCCCAAATCATCCACAAAATCCCTCATTCCATGGGTTTTTTGGGGTCAATTCCATCCCAATTCCATCCCAAATCATCTCCAATCCTTCCCAAATCCCTAATTCCCTGTTTTTTTTGGACTCTCCCCCCAGGGCAGATGCAGAAGCCGTTGGAGGACGCGTCGTTGGCGCTGCGGGTGGGGCCCTTTTGGGGTCGATTCCATCCCCAAACCTCCCTAAAATTCCCAATTTTCGGGGTTTTTTGGGGTCAATTCCTCCCCAATCCTTCCCAAATCCCTAATTCCCTGTTTTTTCTGGAATGTCCCCGCAGGGCAGATGCAGAAGCCGTTCGAGGACGCGTCGTTCGCGCTGCGGGCGGGGCCGATTTTGGGCTCGATTCTATCCCCAAACCTCCCTAAAATTCCCAATTTTGGGGGTTTTTTGGGGTCGATTCCATCCCAAATCATCCCCAATCATCCCCAATCCTTCCCAAATCCCTAATTCCCTGTTTTTTTTGGACTCTCCCCTCAGGGCAGACGCAGAAGCCGTTCGAGGACGCGTCGTTGGCGCTGCGGGCGGGGCCGATTTTGGGCCCGTTTTGGGGTTGATTCCATCCCAAATCATCCCAAATCATCCCCAAATCATCCCCAAATCATCCCAAATCATTCCCAAATCATCCCCAATCGTTCCCAAATCCCTAATTCCCTGTTTTTTTTGGACTCTCCCCTCAGGGCAGATGCAGAAGCCGTTCGAGGACGCGTCGTTGGCGCTGCGGGCGGGGCCATTTTGGGGCCGATTCCATCCCCAAACCTCCCCAAAATTCCCAATTTTCTGGGTTTTTCGGGGCCGATTCCATTCCAATTCCTCCCCAATCGTTCCCAAATCCCTAATTCCCTGTTTTTTTTGGACTCTCTCCCCAGGGCAGATGCAGAAGCCGTTCGAGGACGCGTCGTTGGCGCTGCGGGTGGGGCCATTTTGGGACCATTTTGGGGCCATTTTAGGGCCAATTTTGGGGCCGTTTTGGGGTCAATTCCATCCCAAATCACCCCAATTCCTCCCCAATCGTTCCCAAATCCCTAATTCCCTGTTTTTTTTGGAATCTCCCCGCAGGGCAGACGCAGAAGCCGTTCGAGGACGCGTCGTTGGCGCTGCGGGCGGGGCCGATTTTGGGGCCGATTCCATCCCCAAACCTCCCCAAAATCCCCAATTTTCTGGGTTTTTTAGGGGTTTTTTGCGGTCAATTCCTCCCCAATCCTTCCCAAATCCCTAATTCCCTGTTTTTTTTGGACTCTCCCCGCAGGGCAGATGCAGAAGCCGTTCGAGGATGCGTCGTTCGCGCTGCGGGCGGGGCCGATTTTGGGCCCGTTTTGGGGTTGATTCCATCCCAAATCATCCCAAATCATCCCAAATCATCCCCAATCATCCCCCAATCATCCCCAATCCTTCCCAAATCCCTAATTCCCTGTTTTTTTTGGAATCTCCCCTCAGGGCAGATGCAGAAGCCGTTCGAGGACGCGTCGTTGGCGCTGCGGGCGGGGCCATTTGGGGGTCGATTCCATCCCCAAACCTCCCTAAAATTCCCAATTTTCTGGGTTTTTTGGGGTCAATTCCATCCCAAATCATCCCCAATCATTCCCAAATCATCCCCAACCCTTCCCAAATCCCTAATTCCCTGGTTTTTTTGGACTCTCCCCGCAGGGCAGATGCAGAAGCCGTTCGAGGACGCGTCGTTCGCACTGCGGATGGGGCCGATTTTGGGCCCGTTTTGGGGTCAATTCCATCCCAAATCATCCCCAAATCATTCCCAAATCATCCCAAATCATCCCCAATCCTTCCCAAATCCCTAATTCCCTGTTTTTTTTGGACTCTCCCCAGGGCAGATGCAGAAGCCGTTCGAGGACGCGTCGTTCGCGCTGCGGGTGGGGCCATTTTGGGGTCGATTCCATCCCCAAACCTCCCCAAAATTCCCAATTTTCGGGGTTTTTCGGGGCCAATTCCTCCCCAATCGTTCCCAAATCCCTAATTCCGTGTTTTTTTTGGACTCTCCCCTCAGGGCAGATGCAGAAGCCGTTCGAGGACGCGTCGTTGGCGCTGCGGGCGGGGCCATTTTGGGGCCATTTTGGGGTCGATTCCATCCCAAATCATCCCCAAATCACCCCAATCCTTCCCAAATCATCCCCAATCCTTCCCAAATCCCTAATTCCCTGTTTTTTTGGACTCTCTCCCCAGGGCAGATGCAGAAGCCGTTCGAGGACGCGTCGTTCGCGCTGCGGGCGGGCGAGCTGAGCGGGCCGGTGTTCACGGATTCCGGGATCCACATCATCCTGCGCACCGAGTGAAAGTGCCTGGGATGGGACCGCAATTCCCAAGCCCATCCCATCCCCCACCCTCATCCCCATCATCCCCACCCCCTCCCAAAAAAATTCCCAGCTGCAAAAATCCCATTCCCCAAAAAATTAATAATAATAATAATAATAATTATCATCCACCCATCCTCCCCCACCCCCAAAGTTTTGGGATGTGGGGATTTGGGAAGGGAGGAAAAGGAATTCCCAAGGATTTTGGGGGGAATTTGGGAAGGAGGAGGGTGGGGGAGGGGTGGGGGAAGGGTGGTGGTGACGGTGATGATGGTGGGGACGCAACGATGAGAGGGGGATGATGGGGAGGGGGACACGACGAGGATGATGATGATGATGGTGATGATGATGGTGGGGGTGGTGGGGACACAACAAGGATGAAGATGATGATGGTGATGATGGTGGGGACACAACGAGGATGAAGATGGTGGTGATGAGGACACAACGAGGATGAAGATGATGATGGTGATGGGGACACAACAACAACAATGATAGTGATGATGATGATGATGATGATGGTGATGGGGATACAGCGATGAAGATGGTGGTGATGGGGACATAACAGTGACGATGATGATGGGGATGGGGACACAACGAGGATGAAGATGATGGTGGTGGGGATACAACAACAACGATGATGATGATGATGATGATGATGGTGGGGACACAACGATGAGGGGGATGATGGGGACACAACGAGGATGAAGATGATGATGGTGGGGACACAACAACAACGATGATGATGATGATGATGATGGTGGGGACACAATGAGGATGAAGATGATGGTGGTGATGGGGACACAGCTATGATGATGATGGTGGTGATGGGGACACAATGGTGATGATGATGATGACGATGATGATTGGTGGGGGGGGGGACACAACGAGGATGAAGATGATGGGGATGGGGACACAACGATGATGATGATGGTGATGGGGACACAACTATGATGATGATGGTGGTGGGGACACAACAACAACGATGATGATGATGATGATGATGATGATGATGGTGGGGGTGATGGGGATACAACAATGTTGATGATGATGATGATGATGATGATGATGGTGGTGGTGGGGACACAACCAGGATGAAGATGATGGTGATGATGGTGATGGGGACACAACTATGATGATGATGGTGGTGGGGACACAACGATGAGGGGGATGATGGGGATGGGGACACAATGAGGATGATGAAGATGATGATGATGATGATGATGGTGGTGGTGGGGACACAACGAGGATGAAGAGGATGGTGGGGATGGGGACACAACAACAACGATGATGATGATGATGATGGGGATGGGGATACAACAACGATGATGATGATGATGATGATGGTGATGGTGGTGGGGACACAACGAGGATGAAGATGATGATGATGATGATGATGGTGGGGACACAACAAGGATGAAGATGATGGTGGTGATGGGGACACAACAACAACAATGATGATGATGATGATGGTGGTGGTGGGGACACAATGAGGATGAAGATGATGGTGGTGATGGGGACACAACAAGGATGAAGATGATGGTGGTGATGGGGACACAACAACAACAATGATGATGATGATGATGGTGGTGATGGGGATACAACAACGATGATGATGATGATGATGATGATGATGATGGTGATGGTGGGGACACAACCAGGATGAAGATGATGGTGATGATGGTGATGGGGACACAACTATGATGATGATGGTGGTGGGGACACAACGATGAGGGGGATGATGGGGATGGGGACACAACAAGGATGATGAAGATGATGATGATGATGATGATGATGGTGGTGGTGGGGACACAACGAGGATGAAGAGGATGGTGGGGATGGGGACACAACAACAACGATGATGATGATGATGGTGGTGATGGGGATACAACAATGAAGATGATGATGATGATGGTGGTGGTGGGGACACAACGAGGATGAAGATGATGATGGTGATGATGATGGTGGGGACACAACAAGGATGAAGATGATGGTGGTGATGGGGACACAACAACAACAATGATGATGATGATGATGGTGGTGGTGGGGACACAATGAGGATGAAGATGATGATGGTGGTGATGAGGACACAACGAGGATGAAGATGATGGTGGTGATGGGGACACAACAACAACAATGATGATGATGATGATGGTGGTGATGGGGATACAACAACGATGATGATGATGATGATGATGATGATGATGGTGATGGTGGGGACACAACCAGGATGAAGATGATGGTGATGATGGTGATGGGGACACAACTATGATGATGATGATGATGGTGGTGGTGGGGACACAACAACGATGATGGTGGTGGGGACACAAGGATGATGATGATGGTGGTGGGGACACAACGAGGATGAAGATGATGGTGGTGATGGGGACACAATGAGGATGATGATGGTGGTGGTGGGGACACAACTATGATGATGATGGTGATGGTGGTGGTGGTGGTGGGGACACAACGAGGATGAAGATGAAGATGGGGACACAACTATGATGATGATGATGGTGGTGGGGACACAACAACAATGATGATGATGATGATGATGATGGTGGTGGGGACACAAGGATGAAGAGGATGGTGGTGATGGGGACACAACAACAACGATGATGATGATGATGATGATGGTGATGGTGGTGGTGGGGACACAACAACGATGATGGTGGTGGGGACACAACGAGGATGATGATGATGATGGTGGGGACACAACAAGGATGAAGATGATGGTGGTGGTGGGGACACAACTATGATGATGATGATGGTGGTGGGGGTGACACAACGAGGATGAAGATGATGGTGGTGATGGGGACACAACGAGAATGATGGTGGTGATGGGGACACAATGAGGATGAAGATGATGATGGTGGGGACACAACAACAACGATGATGATGATGATGATGGTGGGGACACAACGAGGATGATGATGATGGTGGTGATGGGGACACAACTATGATGATGATGGTGATGGTGATGATGATGGTGGGGATACAACAACAACGATGATGATGATGATGGTGATGATGATGATGGTGGGGACACAACAAGGATGAAGATGATGATGATGGTGGTGGTGGGGACACAACGATGACGATGATGGTGGTGGGGGTGACACAATGAGGATGAAGATGGTGGTGGGGACACAACAACGATGATGATGATGATGATGACGACAACGATGGTGATGGGGACACAACGAGAATGATGATGGTGGTGGGGACACAACGAGGATGAAGATGATGATGGGGACACAACAGTGATGATGACAATGATGGGGACACAACAACAACGATGATGATGGTGATGGGGACACAGCTATGATGATGATGGTGATGAGGATACAACGAGGATGAAGATGAAGATGGGGACACAACATGAGGATGATGATGGTGGTGGGGACACAACAACAGGAGGATGATGATGGTGGTGGTGGGGACACAACGAGGATGAAGATGATGGTGGTGATGGGGACACAACAACGATGATGATGATGACATGATGATGGTGGTGATGGTGGGTGGTGGGGACAAATAACGATGATGGTGGTGGGGCACATGTTCAGATGATGATGATGATGGTGGGGACACAATGTAAGGGTGAAGACGAGGTGGTGATGGGGGAGGCACCATGATGGATGATGGGGTGGGGGGACACTAACGAGGATGAAGATGATGGTGGTGATGGGGACGCAAACATATAACACAACTGATGATGATGATGGTGGTGGGGGTGACACAACGAGGATGAAGATGATGGTGGTGATGGGGACACAACGAGAATGATGGTGGTGATGGGGACACAATGAGGATGAAGATGATGGTGGTGGGGACACAACAACAATGATGATGATGATGATGATGGTGGTGGGGACACAACGAGGATGATGATGATGGTGGTGATGGGGACACAACTATGATGATGATGGTGATGGTGATGGGGATACAACAACGATGATGATGATGATGGTGATGATGATGATGGTGGGGACACAACAAGGATGAAGATGATGATGATGGTGGTGGTGGGGACACAACGATGACGATGATGGTGGTGGGGGTGACACAATGAGGATGAAGATGGTGGTGGGGACACAACAACGATGATGATGATGATGATGACGACAACGATGGTGATGGGGACACAACGAGAATGATGATGGTGGTGGGGACACAACGAGGATGAAGATGATGATGGGGACACAACAGTGATGATGACAATGATGGGGACACAACAACAACGATGATGATGGTGATGGGGACACAGCTATGATGATGATGGTGATGGGGATACAACGAGGATGAAGATGAAGATGGTGGTGGGGACACAACAAGGAGGAGGATGATGGTGGTGGGGACACAATGAGGATGAAGATGGTGGTGATGGGCACACAACAATGACGATGACAATGATGGTGATGATGGGGACGAGGATGAAGATGGTGATGGTGACACAACAATGGTGAAGATGGTGATGGTGACACAACAACGATGGTGACACAACAATGACAGTGATGGTGACACAACAATGACGGTGGTGACACAACAGTGATGGGGACACAACAATGGCAGTGATGGTGACGCAACGACAACGATGATGGTGATGGGGACACAACAATGATGGTGACGATGACGTCATTGACAATGACCTCATTGCCAGTGACAATGACGATGATGCCGATGGTGACAGTGACATTGGTGATGATGGTGACGTCATTGCCGATGACCTCATTGCAACGGTGACGATGACAATGATGACATCATCGGCAATGACGTCATTGCCTGTGACGATGACGATGCCGGTAACGATGACTGATGATGATGACGTCACTGACAACGACACCGACGATGCTGACGATGAAGATGACGATGATGACGACGATGATGACATCATTACTGGTGACGTCATTAGCAATGACATCATCACCCACCAACTCCTCCCTGGAATTCAATCCCAAAATCCCCCCCCAAAAAATCCCTGGAATTCGATCCAAAATCCCCCCCAAAAATCCCTGGAATTCCACCCCAAATCTCCCAAAAAAATCCCTGGAATTTGATCCCAAATCACCCCAAAAAAATCCCCAGAATTCGATCCCAAATCCCCAGAATTCGATCCCAAATCCTCCCAAAAAAACCCGGAATTGGATCCCAAATCCTCCCAAAAATCCCTGGAATTTGATCCCAAATCCCCCCCAAAATCCACGGAATTCGATCCCAAATCCCCCCCAAAAATCCCCGGAATTCGATCCCAAATTCCCCCCCAAAAACTCCCTGAAATTCAATCCCAAATCCCTGAAATTCGATCCCAAATCCCCCCCCCAAAATCCCTGGAATTTGATCCCAAATCCCCCCAAAAAACCTTGGAATTCAATTCTAAATCCCCGGAATTCAATCCCAAATCCCCCCCAAAAATCCCTGGAATTTGATCCCAAATCACCCCAAAAAATTCCCCAGAATTCGATCCCAAATCCCCCCAAAAAACCCTGGAATTCAATCCCAAATCCCCCCAAAAAATCCCTGGAATTTGATCCCAAATCCCTCCAAAAAAACCCTGAAATTCAAATCCCAAATCCCCCAAAAAATCCCTGAAATTCAATCCCAAATTCCCCCCAAAAAATCCCTGGAATTCAATCCCAAATCCCACAAAAAAAACCCTGGAATTTGATCCCAAATCCCCCCAAAAACTCCTGGAATTTAATCCCAAATTCCCCCAAAAAATCCCTGGAATTCGATCCCAGATCTCCAAAAAATCCCTGGAATTTGATCCCAAATCCACCCTAAAAATCCCTGGAATTCAATCCCAAATCCCCCCCAAAAATCCCCGGAATTTGATCCCAAATCTCCTCCCAAAAAACCCTGGAATTCAATCCCAAATCCCCCCCAAAAAATCCCTGAAATTCGATCCCAAATCCCCCCCAAAAACTCCCTGGAATTTGATCCCAAATTCCCAGAATTCAATCCCAAATCCCTCCCAAAAAATCCCTGGAATTCAATCCCAAATCCCTGGAATTCGATCCCAAATCCCCCCCAAAAACTCCCTGAAATTCAATCCCAAATCCCTGAAATTCAATCCCAAATCCCCTCCCTAAAAATTCCCAAATTTTGCAGTTTGGGCTTCAAAAAAAAAACCAAAAAATACCCCACAAAAAAACAAAAAAAAAGTGGCTTTTTGGGGGTTGTTTTATTGGGAATTTTTTGTGGTTGTTGTTGATGTGGTGATGTCGCTTCTTTATTTTCTTGGGAAGAAAAAAATCCGGGATAAAAATTCCTGGTTATCCCATTTTTTTTTTAAAATTATTATTATTTTTGGCTGTAAATTCCCAGCTTTTTCTTTTCCAGCTGTCAAAAAACACCCCTCTCTAATTAAAAATAGAAAAAAAATAACAATTTATTTATTTTTTTGGGTTTTTTTTTTTCCCCCCAAAAAAATTTCTGGGAATGGGAAAAAAAAAATGAGAGGGGAAAAAAAAAAAGTGCTGAGTCGACGTTTTTGGGAGGGTGAAAATTGATGGGAAATTGATGGAAATGGAGATTAAAAAATGGGATTAAAAATGGGATTAAAGGGAATATTTAATAGAGAAATAAATCAGGGAATAATTGGGATTATTCCTTAATTTTGGGGGGGAAAGGGGGGGAAAGGGTTGGGAAAAAAAGGGACCAAAAAATCCCAAATTTTGGGGGGAAAAGGGACCCAAAAAATCCCCAAATTTGGGGGGAAAAGGGACCAAAAAATCCCAAATTTAGGGGGGAAAAAGAACCCAAAAAACCCCCAAATTTTGGAGGAAAAGAGTCCTAAAAATTCCAATAATTAGGGGGAAAAGGCACAAAAAAATCTCAAATTTAGGGAGGAAAAGGGACCCAAAAAATCCCCAAATTTAGGGGTGAAAAGGGACCAAAAAATCCCAAATTTAGGGGTGAAAAGGGACAAAAAAATCCTAAATTTTGGGGGGAAAAGGGACAAAAAATCCCAAATTTAGGGGAAAAAGAGTCCTAAAAATTCCAATAATTGGGGGGAAAAGGGACCCAAAAAATCCCAAATTTAGGGGGAAAAGGGACCCAAAAAATCCCAAATTTAGGGGGGAAAAGGGACCCAAAAAATCCCAAATTTTGGGGGGAAAAGGGGCCAAAAAAATCCCAAATTTAGGGGGGAAAAGGGACAAAAAAATTCCAAATTTTGGGGGTTAAAGGGGCCAAAAAAATCCCAAATTTAGGGGGGAAAAGGGACCAAAAAACCCCAAATTTAGGGGGGAAAAGGGACCCAAAAAATCCCAAAATTGAGGGGAAAAAGAGACCAAAAAAACCCCAAATTTAAGGGCAAAAATGACCCCAAAACCCCCCAAATTTCAGGAGAGGAATTCCATGGGGAAAAGGGGGGAATTTCCATGGAAAATGGGGGGGAATTTCCATGGGAAAAGGGGGAGAAATTCCACAAAAAATGGGGGGGATTCCATGGAAAATGGGGGGAAATTCCATGGAAAATGGGGAGCAATTCCATGGAAAATGGGGGAGAAATTCCACGAAAAATGGGGGGGAAATTCCATGGGAAAAGGGGGGAAATTCCATAAGGAAAAAAGGGGGGAACTTCCATGGAAAATGGGGGGAAATTCCATGAAAAATGGGGGGAAATTTCATGGGAAATGGGGGGAAATTCCATGGGAAATGGGGGGAAATTCCATAGGAAAAAAAGGGGAAATTTCCATGGAAAATGGGGAGGAATTTCCATGAGGAAAAAAGGGGGGAAATTCCATAGGGAAAAGGGGAGAAATTCCATGGAAAATGGGGAGAATTTCCACGAAAAATGGGGAGGAATTTCCATGGAAAATGGGGGAGGAATTTCCACAAAAAATGGGGGAGAAATTCCACGAAAAATGGGGGAGAAATTCCACGAAAAATGGGGGGGGAATTCCACAAAAAATGGGGGAGAAATTCCATAGAAAATGGGGAAGAAATTCCATGGAAAATGGGGAGGAATTTCCACGAAAAATGGGGGAGAAATTCCATAGAAAATGGGGGGGAATTCCACAAAAAATGGGGAGAAATTCCACGAAAAATGAGGGGAAATTTCCATGAAAAAACTGGGGAGAATCTTCCCTCTTTTCCAGCCCCTTTTCCCCCTTTCCCACCTTTTTTTCCCTCTTTCCCACCTTTTTTTCCCCCTTTTCCCACCTTTTTTTCCCCCCTTTTCCCACCTTTCTTTCCCCCTTTACCACCTTTTTTCCCCCTTTCCCATCTTTTTTTCCCCCTTTCCCACCTTTTTTCCCCTCTTTTCCACCCTCTTTTCCCCCTTTTCCATCCTTATTTCCCTCTTTTCCATCATTTTTCCCCCCTTTTCCATCATTTTCCCCCTTTTCCCACCTTTTTTTCCCCCCTTCCCACCTTTTTTCCCCTCTTTTCCACCCTCTTTTCCCCCTTTTCCACCTTTTTTTCCTTCTTTCCCACCCTCTTTTCTCCTGGTAGGAAAAAAAAAACCCAACACCAACAACAACAATTGGAAAACCAACCCCAAAATTCCTAAAAAAAACACAAAAAACCTGAAAAGAAAAAAATCTCAACCCAAAAACCCACGAGATTTTTAACTTCTTTATTTATATATTTATTTATTTCATATTTCTTTAATTATTAATTTATTTATTTCTTTATTTGCTGCCAAAATAAAGATGGAAAATGAGAAGAAAACCAAAAAAATCCAGAAAAATATCCCGAGAAATTCCCAAAAGGAAAACAATTCCAAGGCAACTCAGATGAGCAAGGCATAAAAGGAGCTCCATGCGCCGGGAGAGACCCCCAGGAAACGGGAAAAGGGCATGGAAAAAAAGGTAGAAAAGGGAAAATTCCAGCCTGGAATCAGGGGATGGAGCTGGGAGGGAATTCCAGATCTCTGGGAGACAAACCCAGCCAGGAATCAGGAAGCTGGATCCAGGGGGAATTCCAGCTCCCTGGAGCCAAATCCAGCCTGGAATCAGAGCTGGATCCAGGAGGGAATTCCAGATCTCTGGAGCCAAATCCAGCCGGGAATCAGAGCTGGATCCAGGAGGGAATTCCAGCTCCCTGGAGTCAAATCCAGCCGGGAATCAGGGATGGATCCAGGGGAATGGAGAAGAGCCAGGAGGAATGGAGTCAGATCCAGGGGGGAATCAGAGCTGGATCCAGGAGGGAATCAGAGCTGGATCCAGCCTGAATGAGACTGATCCAGGAATTCCAGCTCCTGGAGCCAAATCCAGCCTGGAATCAGAGCTGGATCCAGGGGGGAATCAGAGCTGGATCCAGGGGGGAATCAGAGCTGGATCTGGGGTGGGATCAGAACTTCCTGGAGCCAAATCCAGCCTGGAATCAGAGACAGGAGTCCGAGGAGGGAATTCCAGCTCCCTGGAGCCAAACCCAGCTTGGAATCAGAGCTGGATCCAGGGGGGAATCAGAGCTGGATCCAGGAGGGAATCAGAGCTGGATCCAGGAGGGAATTCCAGCTTCCTGGAGCCAAATCCAACCTGGAATCAGAGCTGGATCCAGGAGGGAATCAGAGCTGGATCCAGGATGGAATCAGAGCTGGATCCAGGAGGGAATCAGAGCTGGATCCAGGAGGGAATCAGAGCTGAATCCAGGAGGGAATCAGAGGTGGAGTCCAGGGGGAATCAGAGGTGGATCCAGGAGGGAATTGATGATGATGATGGTGGTGGGGACACAACGATGATGATGATGGTGATGATGATTGGTGGTGGTGGGGACACAATGAGGATGAAGATGGTGGTGATGGGGACACAACTATGATGATGATGATGATGATGATGATGATGGTGGTGGGGACACAACGAGGATGAAGATGATGGTGGTGATGGGGACACAACAATAATGATGATGATGATGATGGTGATGGGGACACAACAACTATGATGATAATGATGATGGTGGTGGGGACACAATGAGGATGAAGATGGTGATGGGGACACAACTATGATGATGATGATGATGGTGGTGGGGACACAATGAGGATGAAGATGGTGATGGGGACACAACTATGATGATGATGATGATGATGATGATGATGATGGTGGGGACACAACGAGGATGAAGATGATGGTGGTGGGGACACAACGATGAGGGGGATGATGGGGATGGGGACACAACAAGGATGATGAAGATGATGGTGGGGATGGGGACACAATGAGGATGAAGATGATGATGGTGATGGTGACACAACAACAATGATGGTGGTGGTGGGGACACAATGAAGATGACGATAGGGACACAACAAGCATGAAGATGGAGATGGTGACACAACAATGACGGTGATGGTGGTGATGGGAACACAACAACGATGGGGACACAGCTATGATGATGATGGTGGTGATGGGGACACAACAATGACGATGATGATGGGGACACAACAATGATGAAGATGATGATGGGGACACAACTATGACAGTGGTGGGGACACAACGAGGATGAAGATGGTGGTGGTGACACAACAACAATGATGACGATGATGGGGACACAATGAAGACGATGATGACGATGGTGACAACAACGATGACGATGGTGACACAATGATGACAATGATGGTGACACAACAATGACGATGATGGTGACACGATGAAGATGGTGATGGTGACACAACAACGATGAAGATGACGACAACAATGATGTGGACACGACAACGATGGTGACATCAATGATGACGATGGCGACACAACAATGACGATGATGATGATGGTGACACAACAATGGTGAAGATGGTGATGGTGACACAACAATGATGGTGACACAACAATGACGATGGGGACACAACAGTGATGGGGACACAACAATGGCAGTGATGGTGACGCAACGACGACGATGATGCTGATGGGGACACAACAATGGTGGTGATGATGGGGACACAACGATGATGGTGATGATGACGTCATTGACAATGACCTCATTGCCAGTGACGATGACGATGATGCCGATGCTGATGATAATGACATTGATGATGATGACGTCATTGCCGATGACCTCATTGCCACTGACGATGATGATGGCAACGGTGACGATGACTATGACGTCATCGGCAATGACGTCATTGCCAAATGACGTCACGACAGTGACGATGACGATGCCAACGATGCCGGTAACGATGACTGATGATGATGACGTCACTGACAACGACACCGACAATGCTGATGATGAAGATGACGATGATGACATTACTGGTGACGTCATTAGCAATGACATCATCACCCACCAACTCCTCCCTGGAATTCGATCCCAAAATCCCCCCCCAAAAATCCCTGGAATTCCATCCCAAATCCCCCCAAAAATTCACGGAATTGGATCCCAAATCCCACCAAAAAAATCCCCAGAATTCGATCCCAAATCCCCAGAATTCGATCCCAAATCCTCCCAAAAAAACCCGGAATTGGATCCCAAATCCTCCCAAAAATCCCTGGAATTTGATCCCAAATCCCCCCCAAAATCCACGGAATTTGATCCCAAATCCCCCCCAAAAAAATCCCTGGAATTCGATCCCAAATCCCCCCCAAAAATCCACGGAATTGGATCCCAAATCCACCCAAAAAATCCCTGGAATTCGATCCCAAATCCCTGGAATTTGATCCCAAATCTCCCCCCCAAAAAATCCCTGAAATTTGATCCCAAATCCCTCCAAAAAAATCCCTGGAATTCAATCCCAAATCCCTGGAATTCGATCCCAAATCCCCCCAAAAATCCCCGGAATTTGATCCCAAATCTCCTCCCAAAAAACCCCGGAATTCAATCCCAAATCCCCCCAAAAATCCATGGAATTGGATCCCAAATCCCCCCCAAAAATCCACGGAATTCGATCCCAAATCCCCCCAAAAATCCCTGAATTCGATCCCAAATCCCCCCCAAAAATCCCCAAAATTAAATCCCAAATCCCCAGAATTCGAACCCAAATCCCTCCCAAAAAATCCCTGGAATTCAATCCCAAATCCCTGGAATTCCATGCCAAATCCCCCTAAAAAAACCCGGAATTCAATCCCAAATTCCCCCCAAAATCCCTGAAATTCAATCCCAAATCTCCAGAATTTGATCCCAAATCCCCCCCCTAAAAATTCCCAAATTTTGCAGTTTGGGCTTCAAAAAAAACCAAAAAAACCCCACAAAAAAAACCAAAAAAAAAAGTGGCTTTTTGGGGGTTGTTTTATTGGGAATTTTTGGTGGTTGTTGTTGTTGTGGTGATGTCACTTCTTTATTTTCTTGGGAAGAAAAAATCCGGGATAAAAATTCCCGGTTATCCCATTTTTTTTTTTAATTATTATTATTTTTGGCTGTAAATTCCCAGCTTTTTCTTTTCCAGCTGTCAAAAAAAAAAAACCAAACCCCTCTCTAATTAAAAATAGAAAAAAAATAACAATTTATTTAATTTTTTGGGGTTTTTTTTTCCCCCAAAAAAATTTCTGGGAATGGGAAAAAAAAAAAGGAGAGGAGGAAAAAAAAGTGCTGAGTCGGCGTTTTTTGGGGGGGTGAAAATTGGGGGGAAATTGATGGAAATGGAGATTAAAAAATGAGATTAAAGGGAATATTTAATAGAGAAATAAATCAGGGAATAATTGGGATTATTCCTTAATTTTGGGGGGAAAGGGGGAAAGGGTTGGGAAAAAAAGGGACCAAAAAATCCAGATTTAGGGGGAAAAGGGACCAAAAAAAATCCAGATTTAGGGGGGGAAAAGGGGACCAAAAAAAATCCAGATTTAGGGGGGAAAAGGGACCCAAAAAATCCTAAATTTAGGGGGGAAAAGAGACAAAAAAATCCCAAATTTGGGGGTGAAAAGGAACCCAAAAAATCCCAAATTTAGGGGGGAAAAGAGACAAAAAAATCCCAAATTTTAGGGTGAAAAGGGACCAAAAAATCCCAAATTTAGGAGTGAAAAGGGACCAAAAAACCCCAAATTTAGGGGTGAAAAGGGACCAAAAAATCCCAAATTTAGGGGTGAAAGGGGACTGAAAAATCCCAAAATTGGGGGGGAAAAGGATCCAAAAAAACCCCAAATTTAAGGGCAAAAATGACCCCCAAAACCCCCAAATTTCAGGAGAGGAATTCCATGGGAAAAGGGGGGAATTTCCATGGAAAATGGGGAGCAATTCCATGGAAAATGGGGGGAAATTCCATAGGGAAAAAAGGGGGGAATTTCCATGGAAAATGGGGGGAAATTCCATGGGAAAAGGGGGGAACTTCCATGGAAAATGGGGGAGAAATTCCACGAAAAATGGGGGGGAATTTCCATGGGAAAAGGGAGGAATTCCATGGGGAAAAGGGGGGAAATTCTATGGGAAAAGGAGGGAAATTCCATGGGGAAAATTCCATGGAAAATGGGGGGGAAATTCCACGAAAAATGGGGAGAAATTCCACAAAAAATGGGGGGGAATTCCATGAAAAAAGTGGGGAGAATTTTCCCTTTTTTCCAGCCCCTTTTCCCCCTTTCCCACCTTTTTTTCCCCCTTTCCCACCTTTTTTCCCCCTTTTCCACTCTCTTTTCCCTCTTTTCCAGCCCCTTCTTCCCTTTTCCATCCCTTTTTCCCCCTTTTCCATCCTTATTTCCCTCTTTTCCATCATTTTTCCCTCTTTTCCACCCCTTTTTCTCCCTTTCCCACCTTTTTTTCCCCCTTTCCCACCCCTTTTCCCCCCTTTCCCACCTTTTTTTCCCTCTTTTCCATCCCTTTTTCCCCCTTTTCCATCCTTATTTCCCTCTTTCCCACCCTCTTTTCCCCCTTTCCCACCTTTTTTTCCCCTCTTTTCCACCTTCTTTTCCCTCTTTTCCACCCTCTTTTCTCCTGGTAGGAAAAAAATAACCCAACAACAACAATTGGAAAACCAACCCCAAAATTCCCAAAAAAATACCCACAAAAAAAAAACCTGGAAAAGAAAAAAAATCTCAGCCCAAACATCCACAAGATTTTTAACTTCTTTATTTATATATTTATTTATTTAATATTTATTTAATTATTAATTAATTAATTTCTTTATTTGCTGCCAAAATAAAGATGGAAAATGAGAAGAAAACCAAAAAAATCCAGAAAAATATCCCGAGAAATTCCCAAAAGGGAAAACAATTCCAAGGCAACTCAGATGAGCAAGGCATAAAAAAGGAGCTCCATGCGCCGGGAGAGACCCCCAGGAAACGGGAAAAGGGCACGGAAAAAAAGGTGGGGAAAAGGGAAAATTCCAGCCTGGAATCAGGGATGGAGCCGGGAGGGAATTCCAGATCTCTGGAGCCAAATCCAGCCTGGAATCAGGGATGGATCCAGGGGGGAATCAGAGCTGGATCCAGAGTGGAATCAGAGCTGGATCCAGGAGGGAATCAGAGCTGGATCCAGAGGGGAATTCCAGCTCCCTGGAGCCAAATCCAGCTGGGAATCAGAGCTGGATCCAGGAGGGAATCAGAACTGGATCCAGGAGGGAATTCCAGCTCCCTGGAGCCAAATCCAGCCTGGAATCAGAGCTGGATCCAGGGGTGGAATCAGAACTTCCTGGAGTCAAACCCAGCCTGGAATCAGAGCTGGATCCAGGGGGGAATTCCAGCTCCCTGGAGTCAAATCCAGCCTGGAATCAGAGCTGGATCCAGGGGGGAATTCCAGCTCCCTGGAGCCAAATCCAGCTGGGAATCAGAGCTGGATCCAGGGGGGAATTCCAGCTCCCTGGAGCCAAATCCAGACGGGAATCAGAGCTGGATCCAGGGAGGAATCAGAGCTGGATCCAGGAGGGAATTCCAGCTTCCTGGAGCCAAATCCAGCCTGGAATCAGGGATGGATCCAGGAGGGAATCAGAGCTGGATCCAGGAGGGAATTCCAGCTCCCTGGAGCCAAATCCAGCTGGGAATCAGAGGTGGATCCAGGGGGGAATCAGAGCTGGATCCAGGGGGGAATTCCAGCTCCCTGAAGCCAAATCCATGAGGGAATCAGAGCTGGATCCAGGAGGGAATTCCAGCTCCCTGGAGCCAAATCCAGCCTGGAATCAGAGCTGGATCCAGGAGGGAATCAGAGCTGGATCCAGGAGGGAATTCCAGCTCCCTGGAGCCAAATCCAGCCTGGAATCAGAGCTGGATCCAGGAGGGAATCAGAGCTGGATCCAGGAGGGAATTCCAGCTCCCTGGAGCCAAACCCAGCCTGGAATCAGAGCTGGATCCAGAATGGAATCAGAGCTGGATCCGGGGTGGAATCAGAAGCTCCTGGAGATGCATCCAGGGTGGAATCAGAGCTGGATCCAGGAGGGGAATCAGAGCTGGATCCAGGATGGAATCAGAGCTGGATCCAGGAGGGAATCAGAGCTGGATCCAGGAGGGAATCAGGGCTGGATCCAGGGGGGAATCAGAGCTGGATCTGGGGTGGAATCAGAGCTGGATCCAGGGGGGAATCAGAGCTGGATCCAGGAGGGAATCAGAGCTGGATCCAGGAGGGAATCAGAGCTGGATCCAGGGGGGAATCAGAGCTGGATCCAGGAGGGAATCAGAGCTGGATCCAGGGTGGGATCAGAGCTGGATCCAGGAGGGAATCAGAGCTGGATCCAGGGGGGAATCAGAGCTGGATCCAGGAGGGAATTCCAGCTCCCTGGAGCCAAATCCAGCCTGGAATCAGAGCTGGATCCAGGGGGGAATCAGAGCTGGATCCAGGAGGGAATCAGAGCTGGATCCATGGGGGAATCAGAGCTGGATCCAGGAGGGAATTCCAGCTCCCTGGAGCCAAATCCAGACGGGAATCAGAGCTGGATCCAGGAGGGAATTCCAGCTCCCTGGAGCCAAATCCAGACGGGAATCAGAGCTGGATCCAGGAGGGAATTCCAGCTCCCTGGAGCCAAATCCAGACGGGAATCAGGGATGGATCCAGGAGGGAATTCCAGCTCCCTGGAGCCAAATCCAGACGGGAATCAGGGATGGATCCAGGAGGGAATCAGAGCTGGATCCAGGAGGGAATCAGAGCTGGATCCAGGAGGGAATCAGAGCTGGATCCAGGGGGGAATCAGAGCTGGATCCAGGAGGGAATCAGAGCTGGATCCATGGGGGAATCAGAACTCCCTGGAGGCAAATCCAGCCTGGAATCAGAGCTGGATCCAGGAGGGAATTCCAGCTCCCTGGAGCCAAATCCAGCCGGGAATCAGAGCTGGATCCAGGGGGGAATTCCAGCTCCCTGGAGCCAAATCCAGCCTGGAATCAGAGCTGGATCCAGGGGGG